ATAACCTAGTTTTCTTGATCAGTTATTTATATTGCTTCATGACAGATGAAAATAAATATTTTCAGGCTGGAAATAATAATAATAGTTGTGACTATTATAAACCATATAGTTTTCTGGATGAATATTTTCTGCTTTTGCTCCATTACATGTTTCACTGAAAATTAAAGTGCTTTTTAATTTGGGTGTTATCTGAACATATGAGCACGTTACATGTACTTTTCACGTATTTTACGAGTACATGAATGAATTAATAAATAAAATAACTAAATAATGAATTATGTAACAATATCTGAGAGATTAGTGGAGATATTTCTGAATTCACCAAAATGATCACAAGGATGACTAAATGTTCTTATTCACATGTGTAATTTTTATTGGAAGATGTGTGTTTTTGAGTTTTAAATATTGCTTATTTTTTCTGGTAATAATGAGTCATTCTTGATGAATATTATTAGTAGGTAGTTGGCAATGGTAATTTAAATGTCAGAGTATCAAAAATGGGACTGAGGGAACACTAAATTGAAAATGGTTTAAAATAAGGTGTCCAAAAGGGGCTTTGAAAAGTTCTAACATTATTCTGGTGATCTAGAAGACTTGTGTGCCTGCCCAGGTAAAATCTGGTAAAGTCACTATTTCACATATGGCTGCTTTTGAGGTTCTGCACACTTCTGCAGAAGTGAGAACTAAGACAGATTTGTAAACTGTAGGAGACTTGAAGGTGTGCTCTAAGACACACATACAGCCTTTTGGGATACTAACTGGTTCAAGATATTTAAGGAAATATCTGTCTAATCATTTACTGGTCACAAACTTAACCATGTAGAGACCTCAGTGGCCACTGGCAACAGAGAATATTGACTTGCTGAAGTACTCCAGGGAAACTGCTAAATACAAGCAGAAACAACTGCTACAAAGAAAAGCAGTCGGCTTGGGGGGCAGGGAGAATACAATCTGATTTCAGAGTTGTTAGTTAAAATGTTCAACTTACAACAAAAACCTTTCAACAATGTGAGGCAGTCAAAGAAACAGGAAATTATGTACCATACAAGTTTAAAAAAACAAAAAAAACAAGCAGTAGGAACTGTTAGGTAAATCCTGTGTCTGAGGTAGCACAGACATTGGATTTACCTAACAGACATTACAACAATAATTATGAATATGTTCAGAAAACTAAAGAAGGCTATGATTAAAGAACTGAAGGAAAGTAAGATAATGATGTCTTACCAATTAGAGAATAGCAATAACGATGGAAATTATGAAAAAACAAATAGAAGTACTATAGTAATGCAATGTAAATTGACTAGAGATACTCAACGGAGGTTTAGTTATTTGAGCTGATAGAAGAATCAGTGTCTTTGAAGGTAGACTAATTGAAATTAGTATAATAAGAAGAAAGACAACATGAAGAAAAAAGTTGACAGAGCCTCAGAACCTGTAGGACACCATCAAACATACCAACATAGTCACAGTAGTAGGCTCAGAAACTGAAAAAAAAAAAAGGGCATTTTTAAAAACAATGGGTGAAAACTTCCCAAAGTTGGTGAAACATGTTAATCTACACATTCAAGACCCTTAACAACTCCAGGTAGCATAAACATGTAGTAATCTACGTCTAGGTATATGATAAACAGTCAAAAGACAGGGGCCAAGAGAATCTTCAAAGCCACAAGAGTGAAGTGACGGATAACATGCAAAGAATCCTCATTTAGATTCACAGTTCATTTATCATCAGATATTGTGAAGGGTGTGAATCAGTAGAGTGACATATTCATAATTATGGGGGAAAGTTTAACCAAAAATCCCATAGCCAGCAAAACTATCTTTCAAAAATAAAAAGGACGGCCAGGCACAGTGGCGCACACCTGGGTGATCAGCTATTGGAAATCCTAAAGCAGGAGGATGGCGTGAGCTCAGGAGTTCGAGAACAGCCTGAGCAACCTAGCAAAACCCTATCTTAAAAAATAAAGAGAAATTAAGACATTCCTGGATTTAAAAAAAATTATTAATAGAGCTGTATTTCAAGAAATGTATGAAGTCTTTTAAGTTAAACCCAAAGAACATAAAGGTATCTAGTATAGCTAAATATAAAGACAGTATAATTTTTTTGTTTATAATGCTTTTCTTCTCTTATCTGATTTAAAATAAAATTACATAAAGCAATAATTATAAAACTGGGTTAATGGGTTTATAGTATATAAAGATGTAATTTGTATAACAATAATAGCACAAGACAGGGAGAAGGAAATAGAGCTACTAAGAACACATTTTTGAATACGATTGAGATGAAGTTGGTATGAATTTGAATAAGATTGTTATAAATCAAGATGATAATTACAATTCTGAGCATAGCCACTAAAAAAAAATCCTCGAAGAATATAGTGAGATAAGTACACTTGTAAATATCTGTTTAACAGTGCAAAGTTGATATTAATTTGAATAAGATTGTTATAAATTAAGATGGTAATTACAATTCTGAACATAGCCATTAAAAAAAAATCCTCAAAGAATACAGTAAGTGAGATAAGATAAATAAGTACACTTGTAAATATCTGTTTAACACAGAAGAAGGCAGTAATGGAAGAATAGTGTAACAAAAAAGGTATAAAACTTATAAAACAAATAGCCAAATAACTAATAAATGGAAACAACTTAAATATCTAGACTGGTAAATAAAATACAACATGTCCATATAATGAAATTTTACTTGACAAGAGAAATGAAATACTACTACCTGGTACAACACGGATTAACCTTGAAAACATGATAAATGAAAGCCAGTTACAAAAGTCACATGTTGTATGGCGGCATTTATGTGAAATGTCCAATTGTTTTCAGAGACGGAAAAGGAGGGGTTGGGAATGACTGCCACTGGTTACAGAATTTCCTTTAGGAGTGATGAAACATTTATGAAATTAGATTTTGGTGTTGGTTGGACAATGTAAACGTACGCACTGTATTTTAAACTTTAACGGAATAACATTTATATGTGAACTACATCTCAATAAAACTACTGTTTTTTTTTAAAGGGAAAATATAGGAGTAGAATATAGATTTTTGAATCATAGTAGTAAATGCCAATTCTAAGAGTAGGGATATAATATTTTTTTAAACATAAGGAAGAAAAATGCAAATAAATAAAAAAGTATGTAAATAATTTATACCTCAAGTAGTAACCACAGTGTTTAATAAGAGACTTACTGCTAGAATTAAATAACGTATACTCCTTTCTTGGCACTTCTCACACAATTTTGCTTATATCTTTTCAAGTTATGATTTTTATTTCACCTTTGATTACAGTTTTAAATTTTTTTAACCATGAGATTGTACTCTCTAGAGAAGAGAGTTTACCTCAGATTTATACTCTTCCACCCACAGTGCTATATTCAATATTTTGTGTATAATTATTTCTCAATAAACATTTGTTAATGAACACAGGAGCACTGTGGTATAAATGTAGCATGAATTCTTTTCTAGGTCGCAAATTTAGAGATTTTTGTAATTTAATGTATATATTTTCTTTGGTTCTTGAATAACTCCTGTTTATAAGATGCAGAGAAAGCTGGAATGATTTTAAATGATACAAAATGTAATAAGGAGTTCTATAATTCAGACTCGTGTGCTCTCACTTATGAGGACTTGAATCTCCAAGTTAAATTTTTATCAGCCCAGATATTCTTCTGGTCCTAGGTATAATTCTGATGTAAGCTGCGGTCATGACCCACAGATTTATATCATACTAGCTTCATGTTGAAGTAGATCCAGCTTGAAGTAGTCACATTACTTCAAGAGCAGAATATTTGAATTTTTCTTTTGTTTACACAGTTTCCAAAAGCTCCTGAAATGAAAACTCTTTAGATAATCTTCTTACTAAATATTTCTAATATTTTTGAAATTTTAAAAATCTCATTTGTTATTGGGAATAGTGCTGCAATAAACACAAGTAAGCAGGTATCTTTCTTGTAGAATGATTTGTGTTCCTCCTGAAAGATTCCCAGAAGGAGGATTGCTGGGTCAAATGGAAGGTCGATTTTTAGATCTTTTAGGAATTGCCGCACAGAGGCTGTACTAGCTTACACTAGTTTATACTTCCGCCAACTGTGTAGAAGTGTTGCCTCTTCTCCTCATCCTCTCCAGCATCTGGTGTTTTCTGAGTTATTGGTGAAGGTCTTCTGGGTTTGTCAGTAGAGAGAGGGTCACTGCTGGGGAAGGGGGGACACATAACACAATAAAGTTACCTGATCCCAAACCAGGCGAAGTGAGGTCCAATGGGAGGCCCACACTTCACCTGTACAATGATCACTTATATACCTAACCCTGAATTGTATTTTACAGCTTTAAAATAAAAAAGCTAATTAATTAAATAAAAAAGAAAAAGATCATAGATTTTTGGATAAGTGATTTTTAATGTATGTTTAGGCACTTCTTTTTTCTTAATAAATATGCACCAAACCCTTGCTTTTAAATATTTAGTTTGATTTTTCTGGTGTCCGAGTTTCTCATTTTTCTTCATAGATGGGGATTTCTTTCAATAATGATTTCTCTAACATAGCACAATAGCCAGATCTGTATGTTTACTTAAAAAAAATATATTATACAAGTTTGCTTAACAATAGCAATTCAGTTTAAGTTAATTGAGCTTTTTAGTTATTTAGTATTAGAATTACGTTGCTCTAAATATTTACAGTTTTTAAGATATATTGACTTTTAAAAATCAGCCTTTTACATTTTATTTGTCCTCTACTGTGCGAGATTAACTATGAATGCAGCAAAATTAAGTTTTAACAAATGGATGCATACAGTATAGATTTTCTGAACCAGAAAACAATGTAGAATAACAGTTTAAGATTTACAGCTGATGTGTAAAATAGGTGTGTGTTTCTTCCTCAGCTTATGACTTATGTTGCTTCTTCAGATATTTAAAAATAAGCCACGTTGTAAATCTTGTTCTAGGTATGTGTGAATTTGACTATCTGACGACATCCACGTCTATTTCTCTGCAGGGGGACATCCAGCAGTTTTTGATCACAGGGGACCCGAAGGCAGCATACGACTACTGTGAGCATTATAGTCCAGACTGTGACTCTTCAGCACCCAAGGCTGCTCAGGCTCAAGAACCTGAGATAGACGAGGTAAAGGGCGCACAGCCAGGGCCTGTCTGCAGATTTCAGTGATATGGACATAGCATTGCCGGTTTTGGATAGATATCTATTTATTTAATTTCATCTAAACTATACTTTGTATTTAATAGTCTTATTATTTCTAAGAAGAAGTGATACAAAAGTATTTGGCGTATTTTCCCCCTATTGCTTAGGCATTTTGTTTCATAAATTTATTAGAAGTAGAGATACCCCCTTGTATACCGTGCATATGAGCAAATTCCATTCTTTGGAAAGGCGCAAAAAAGAAAAATTCTAAGTTATATTTCTCCTCTTAGCATTTAAATAATTAATGCAAACTCAAGAGTGAATGACTTGACATTTTCCTCGGCCTTTGGCAATTCATGCAGAGGAGTAAGTGATAGGACTCTCTTACAGTTTTTCAGGCTGTGTTGAATAATTAGAGGGGTTTTTCCCACCATTTCTCATAGGGAAGTTAAAAAGCAGGTGAACTGGAATGGATTCAGTTTTTAGTTGGGAATGAAACTTTTTTTGAATTTTTTTTTTCTTAAGACTTCAAATAGTAAAAGGGGGTAGAAGTTTGAAAACATCAGGACTGTATAAAAATAAATCAAAGTAATGTTCTTCTTTTCTAATACACTGTTAGATGCCATCATTTGAGTTTAATTATTTTTAAAGGGTTAAGGTGTTATGTTTTATTTTACTGCTATTTCTGCATGTACATTCAGGTTGGATTTTTCCATTTAAATGCTAGGGATATGTTTTTTGACACTACTTTTTAAGGTATAATAGTGAATTGTGTTGCACTGATTTTTCCATGACTTAATATTAGTTTTTTTGTTTTTTTAAAACAGGGTAAAGTCTTAAGAAGCTATCAGGAAGGCAGATATAAGAGTGCAAAGAGAAATTACTTGGATAATTTACTTGCCTGTTTCACAGTTCTCAAATGCCTTATTATTTTTATTCCCTCATGATTCACTAAATATATTTTCTGTGGATTCTGTATTCCCTCTGATGATAGATAAAGTAACTCTGAGGCTTAGTGTTTTTACATCTGAGAGGTTATGTTGATGACATAATGTTAGAATTTATAGCATTTATTAGACGTGTCCAAGATTGATGAGATTTATTTTGTACCTTTTTGAAGAAAAGACAAGGCTTATTCTTTTTAGCAACAAATGTGGTTTCACTATTTGGAAGAAGGAAGGATATGCATTCTTAATACAACACCTTGAGATGCTTTTGCCCCAGATTTTAACGTTATTATGCCAGGCAAGTTGAGTTATTTTAAATCAAGATAGTTTGTATCTCTCTTCATAAGTTCATTTAAAAGTGAACTTGCCTTTTACTATTTTCGTTGTTGATATGTATATTTAACATACTGTTGAGATGTCAAACTTGCTTTTACCAGAAGCATTTGATGAAGAAAACAGCACACGGCATGACAATCTGGTAGGGTAAGGCAGTAATAGATAAAATTCGTTACCAATTTCTGTATTGAATGAGTCACAATGAAAAGTTTCATTTTATTTTTTAAGAAAGAATCAATTCTTACCTTTTTCTCCACGACTGACTGTAAATTATATTGATATTTCAATAATAAGATAAACAATTTATACTAATATAAAAAACTGGTTAATCAAATTAGTAAGCAGTCATTATATTAATTTTGCACTCTATTCACTAATATGTCATTATATTACAAAATGCATTTCATAATCTTCATGTGTTCTACCTGTACAAAGAAAAAAAGCAATGTTATTTGCCAGTGAGCAAATAACTTAAAGTACAACATGGAATATCAGCCATTCGTGTTATATTTTATGTTGTTTAATTTTCCACTAATATATTGTGGCATTGCATATTTATTATTCCAATTTGGATTAATAAATATGTCAATTTATTTTATAAATTGACCCTAGTGTGCTTTTTCCAACTTATAATTTTGTCTTTTTAGTATCCTCTAAGTAACATATCCTAATATATTCTTCAGATTCAAATAGTTATGTGCTTGACACAACATTATATCATCACCATAGAGAGAGACAGATGTATAATTTAGACAATTTTAAATTTAGTGATAACGTCATCAAATTTTAGATCTATTTGAACTTACAAAAACTAATTTAAATAGATGACTAGCTAATATTGAAATAATGAGTGAAGTTTTTTTATCAGGTTAAATGATCTTCCTCTTTTATAATAAAAATTAGATGTTTAATCTATGTATGATTCCTCCTTAACGTATCATACATACCATAATACCTTATATATTGTAGGCAATGGATATTCTTTTTTATAAAGAATGAAACAGGACATTGAAGCAAAAGAAATACATTTTTATAAAAGAATTTTAACAATAACTTTCAAAAATTTATTACCTTATTCATGGTTTCACTTAATATTGAGGACATATGCTGGTTCTCATAGATGCACAGGTTTTTAGTGATGTCACCATTTTTCAGACAAGTTAAGTTAAAAAACAAAGATTTTATGACATTTTCAGAAGAAGATCCTTTCTCCTCACCTGTCCTAATTTCTGCTAGAATACTCACAGATCAAAATTGAAATTATTCCACGACTGCATGTCTTTTTGGATATATTTGTCTGATTAACTACAACTAGTTATTTCTTCTCTTCTTGCCTGAAGTCATCAAAATTCCATAGTGAGAAGGCAGAATCATCTCCAAAAATAGGTTGTAAGGCTTCCTGGAGACCAGCATGCCCTATGTTTACTCAATACCACCAAAAGGGGGAGTCTGTGATTCTTTACTTTGCCTCCAGACTAAGCCTTAAGAGAAAGACGTTCTTTGGTGTGTATGGAGGTGAGCGTGTTCTTTTCTCTCTGTTTCACAATCAGTCTAGTTGATCATCAACTGGAAAGAGTCAAGCAAAAGAGAGGTTTATGAAGGTTAGAAGAGGTTTTCTCCTACAAGGGAAAAACATGATATAAAGTTAATTGGCTATTTTTGTACAGGTCTCTCTCTCTATATTCCTGAACAGCAGACTTCAGTAGAAATGAAAAAAAAAAAAAAATTGTCCATGTTTAAAACTGGTTGATTATGCATATTTTTAAATTTTTTAATTTATTATAGATATGCTTGATTCTGAAAGTCTGCTTAATTTTAAAACTAAAACATAAGAAAAACTGGCAAGTCTTTTTTCCATGTTTTACTGCAAGTTGGAAGCTGACAGTTATAGAATCCAATATTTCTTATTTCAACGTGGATGACTATAACTGCTGAAAAATTAGATAATATTTAATCTCTATTAATGTCTATTTAATATATAGCTAAATTTTGCATTTACTTGTTTTATTACTTAATTGATATTATTAATTATTCTCATATTACACTTTCTAGAAATCACTGACATTTTATCTAACTTGCAAAGGTATGAGACAACAAAAATACTTAAATGGTATATACATACCTTTTTCTATTTTATCAAATTCTATATAAATTATCATAAAAAGAAAACTGTTGAATTGTTTCAAATATGTATTCATTGATAATGAAGCTATTACCAGAAGGGTAAAATTATAAATCTGTGTATTAATTTTGTCAAATTGGAGTGTTCATAATTATAAAGAACACTAAAGGTGTGTCTAGGCTTATATTTCAATATGATCTTAACCTGAAACATCAAGAAAAGTTCACTTGGATTGGGGATATTTCATCAGGGACCAGATGTACAATATTACCAGAGGATCCGTTTTGCACTTGTCTCATTCTGTATCTTTGTGAAATTTGGATTCACCTGCATTGCTGCAACTGCTAGAGCTTATTAGAGGGTACTGTGGTCACAGTTTTCTACAAGATTTGTATCCAGCAGTTATTTTGCTGTCAGATTCAAAAGGATTGGTTAAAATGCAAAGAGAAGTCGAGTAGGTACACAATTGGAATTGTATCAAATACAGTAATTAGAGAATTACACATATGTTGCCTCATCCTCTATATGTATATATTTTAGCTTATTGAATTTACTGCTCATAAAGACACTTAGCTTTGGAGTTAAACACATTATTTTCTTCATAATTCAACATGTATAGTTGTTTATTATGTCCCTTGATTAAGAAACATACCACTCCCTAAATTCTTTTAATGCAGAATAATCTCGTATAAAATACTATTTTTCAATGTGAATTCAGTTTAAGTTGTTTAAGATATCTAAAGCAGTATTTTCAAAGGTTAATGTATTAATTATAAGCATATCTAATTTTGAACATTTAATGCCTCACAAATATTTTGTGCTCATTTTGATCTTAGGAAGGTCCATAGAACATCTAAGATTTCTGAATGAATTTTAGATTTTATTTTTCCAATGGTTTTAGTATTTCAAATGGAATATATGCTTATTTCATGTTCTCTGCATTCCCTTTCCCTCCTCCCCTCTTTACCACCTCACAATAGATAAGCATGAAAGTCCTTTTGTACTTAGGAAGGCTACTCTCCATATTTTTATTTTTAAATATTAAATTTACTTTTCTTAAAAAATACCATTACAAACACCGTAAACTCTTCAAGAGAAACATTGCATAGTGAATTTTACCAATCAAAATAAACATATATATTTGACATCTATATCCAAGTACATAATTGCTATGTTTGAATTAACAATCGATAATTAAAAGTTTGAATTATTATTCAAAACTTTTACTTTTTTCATGATCCTAACCACTATTCTGCTATTGGGAAATGTGCTTTATCACTCCTATGTTACTATACTCTGAATAAGACAGTTTAATACTTCTGTGCAATACAAAATAACTTTTAAATGACAGTATTTCCTTGTGTCTTAACATTTACTCTAAGTAAAAGTTAAGATGATTCTTGCTTTAACAGTATGTTGCCACTAACAGGATTGCCTGGTATTTTTTCCTTTGCGATGTAGTATGCACCTGAGGATATAATCGAATATGACTATGAGTATGGGGAAGCAGAATATAAAGAGGCTGAAAGTGTAACAGAGGGACCCCCTGTAACTGAAGAGACAGTAGCGCAGACGGAGGTAAAGACACAGCAGCGCCTTGTGTGTGGTGTCTTGCTGTTTGTCGTCCTGTGGTTCCTTGTGTTGACGATTCCTCAAACTTCTCACATACCTTATATTCATCTTGTTTCTCTGAACCAATAACTGTGATTTTCATTTGACAGCAGCAGTCTGGAAGAGTGATGCCCATGTCCCTTTTGCTTATCCTTCCTTTCAACCATGCTCTTTGCTTTCCTTCTCACTTTATTTATGTTTTCCATTCCATCTTTCACCACATTTTGCAGAAAAAGAAATCCAATTTCAAAAAGAAGACGAGGACAGTGGCCACTAACTCAAAGGAAAAGTCCAAAAAGTTTACACCCCCCAAACCTGAAAAATTTCCATCCAAGAAGAAGAAAAGTTATCAAGCATCAGCAAAAGCCAAACTAGGGGTAAAGGTAGCAAAGACAAAGCAATCAAGATCTATCCTAGATAAGCTGGAAGATCTCTGATGATGAGCCATAATCTTAACCCCACTAGATAAATACTCACTTGGCTAATAATATCACCCAATTGAATCATGATTTCCACATATTTTGGATTACCTTACTTGTTTACTAATTGTTTTGTTTTTTTTTTTGCTGATTTTATTTTATTAGGCAAATATTGTTGATGATTTTCAAGAATACAACTATGGAACAATGGAAAGTTACCAGACAGAATCTCCTAGGCGTGTATCAGGATTGAATGAGGTAAAATATGCACATGGTATTACAACACATTCTAACTTTTCAAATGTGCAGTATCATTTGATATATCTCACTCTGGAAGAATCTGTAATCTCTCAAACATCTGACATTTTTATTGTTTTACTAAGGTTAAAAAAACATAACATTGGTTCACCATTACTGAAAATGATTCATTTGAAGTTAATGTCATTTCAGGTTTTGCATGACTTTGCTTCATGCAAATTGATCATACTGAATTGGCAACTCTTATTTTCTTGATCGTTCGTGGAATTGAGCAAGCTTTTCAACATGTTGTGACTCAGGGTATTCACAACATGATTCTTCTGTGAGAAGAATCTCTAAAGTGAAAATTGTATCATCAAATGATACAATTAGAATGTTATTTCATATGACAAATAATCATTCATTTTTATGATGGCAAGCATTTTGGGAAAATGTAGTCTTAGTAGATAAGACTATAAATAAGCATACATTAGTAACTGATAACTATTTACATTTTCAAACTTGTCAGAAATATGATGCTAATTATTGTTAATATATCTTAATCTATCCATTATTTTCTAGTGTTTAGGTACATTTAGTTAAAATTTAAGCACAAAATAAGTACATATAAGTTAAAAGTCATTTTAACTACATATAGTTAAAAGTCAATCTTAGGCTGGACGTAGTGGCTCATGCCTATAATCGTAGCACTTTGGGAGGCCAGGATAAGAGAATTGCCTGAACCCACGGGTTTGAGACTAGCCTGGGCAACTTGGTGAGACCTCATCTCTATAAGTATTCAAAAAATTACTAGTTCACACCAGTAGTTCCAGCTGCTTGGAAGGCTGAGGCAGAAAGATCGCCTGAGCCCAGCAGGTTGAGGCTGCAGTGGCCATAAGCATGCCCTGCATTCTAGCCTGGGTTACAGAGTGACACTCTAACTCAAAAAACAAAAAAACAGAAAAATCAATCTTTCTGACTTTCATATGGTGCAGGCATTCTGATCATGAAAAAAAATCAGTATACAATTCAGTTTAATTTTCTAAATATCTGACATACATTTCGTTATAATTTTATCAAAAAAATCAGGGCTATGTGAGTAATTTAGTTATTAGAAAATTTATATAAAATGTGTCCCAATTAGATAAATTAACTCAGTCATCTTTTGCAAACAAGTATGGAATTTAGAATAATAAAAATTTAGGATAAAAATGGATTTCAATTTTCTTTTAGTCCAAATTAATATTTTCCAAAAAAATCTTGATTCAAGATGTTTATTACTTACACAAATTCATCCAGGTTTTTAATTTAGAGCTATGATCATAGTAATATTTTGATCCTAGATAATATGAAACTTCTACTAACAGTATATACTTCTCATCTGAGTCCAAAAAAATATGGTTTTTGGACATTTTATTTTAGTTAAAAATTACTAAGTTCATCATTCATCCACATATTTTACTCACATGATTGTGTAATACCATTATTCAAAATTACTGTTTCATTTAGATTCACCATATCACAAAAAGTTACTTAAAGTGGAAATTTTAAAAGAAGTATGATAAATTATTTAATTTAAATCTCATAGTCATAATAAGGCAAAATATTCACTTAATAATTATAATAAAGATTTATTTTACTAATGAATAATTATGAGAAAAATAGTATTTTATCAGATTTCTTTTCTATACATTTGAGGAAGTATTATTGATATAATTTTTACTTTTAAGTTAATTTATTACTTAATATTTATGAGATTGTAGAGTGATATTTTATGCCATGTTGCCTTAAATTCTGAGAATTATAATTTATAATTTATTTGCTTTGAAAATTTTTTTGGTGTAATATTTTTTTCCTACATATGAAATACTCTTCAAATCATTGCAATGGTAAATCTCAATTTATACTGGCATGATTGCATCATTATTTATGGGTTCAGAATCCAACTTACATGGCTTATCCTTGTGGCAAGTATATCATAATATTCTGTGAGATTTAACAATTAGGCAAAGCTTTAATTAGATGCATATTTTATTGTTCAAATCTTAAGCCATAAATTAAATATCAAATTGACTAACAAGTTTTTTTGTTTTTTTTTTCCCAATGGAACGATCAAATACACATGCTGACTGCATGTGAGTATTTGCAGTTTATTGGGGGAAAGTGCTTTGAAAGAAATATCACTTTGTACATACCAGCATACAAATATATTTCTTTCAAGGATATTGAAGGACTACCTTTCCAGGCCTTCAGAGGTGCTTGAGTAGTAATGAAATCGCTTCCGATCACATGCCAGCAAACTGTAATTGCAGATGCTTACTTTGCTTTACTAACAATAACTTCATGTTCTCCAATTCTTTGAAACTCAAATTATTAGCCAAATCCAGTTGAAGAAATATTCACTGAAGAATATCTAACTGGAGAGGATTATGATTCACAGAGGAAAAATCCCGAGGATACATTATATGAAAACAAAGAAATAGACGGCAGGGACTCTGATCTTCTGGTAGATGGAGATTTAGGCGAATATGATTTTTATGAATATAAGGATTATGAAGACAAACCAACAAGTCCCCCTAATGAGGAGTTTGGTCCAGGTGTACCAGCAGAAACTGATATTACAGAAACAAGCGTAAGTTGACATTACGCTCTGTGTTGCTGTGTGTCTTAATTTGGGAATGTTTTTGTGTTTATATATATTCATATTCATCTTGATGTCTTCTCAGATTTAAAATATAGGTTGGGTTCTTATATAAATGATGAATCCTTTCCACTACTTGAACACCTTGATATATTCTCCTACATAGAATCTTAAGCAGTTGTCGCTCTTTGAATGTCACTGGAATCTTCATTTGAAAGTATAATCTTGAATTGCATAAAAAATTTCTTACCATTGATTAACATATAGTCATTATTATTCTGAGTAGCAATTCTAATTTCTGTTTTTTAAATTATCTCATTAAGTGAAATTTGATAATACTTCTGTCTGGGAATAATAATTGAAGTCTACAGATGTTTTTGACATCTGTTTTTAAGAAGCAATTGTTCAATCTCCTCTTATGATTCAGTATTAATATTTATGAAGCTGTTTAAAAATTTTTGCTCTATTTAAACCTTTACTAGGTTTTTCTTTAAAAAGCACATTTTAATAGATTTTTTTTTCAAATGTGTTTAGAATTTTAAATTCCTTTTTTTCCAAAAATGGAAATAGCCTTATTTATTTGGAGACATTTAGGCTGTTTTGAACTTTTGATTCAACAGATAAATGGCCATGGTGTATATGGAGAAAAAGGACAGAAAGGCGAGCCAGCTGTGGTTGAGCCTGTAAGTACCGGTATATATGCACTTGAAAGATTGGTAAAATTGTTTAATTTATATTATGAGCCAGAATAAATTATTATATGTAATTATGTATATGTATGTGCATATACATATTACCATCAACAATCATGATGTCCAAATGTTTATAATTTGCCACAAATAAGTTTTTAAGTAGAATTTCAGTAAACCAAAACATTGTAGAAATACAGAATTTCAGAATTTGGGAGTAGCTGAAATTTGTCTTGTCTAATTCTCTCATTTTAAAAATAAGGAACCTGAGATCTAAAAGGCTTAAGTAATTTTCCTGAGTTTTGTCAACGAGAAATAACAGGATTTTAGTTTTCTGGTTTCTAATCCAATTTTTTTTCTGTTCTTTATGATGACATTATTAGAAATGTATTATTTGACATAGATCCTTATTTGTTCATATCCAAATTCTATCATGCAATAATATGTTTTTTAAAAAATTTACTTCCTTATTACCCATGGGGGGAACTCTAATTCACTTCAAAAGTGGTTCTATAAAAGTTATATTAGTGTAATTACTACTCATGATATTGGTAAGGAACAAATTCTTACCAGGAAGCAATTTTTCTATTGTTTCCTACTAATCAGCAACTTGGGAAACGAATATGTTAGAATTAAAGGTTGTATAAATAACTGCCTCAGGAGGCCAACATGGAAATCATTTCAGAAATCTCAAGGATGTAAGCATTTTTTAAAAGGAAGAGAAAAGGTAAATATAGAAAAGGTGCAGCTTAAAGGACCTTGTTGACCATCTACTCCTTGAACTCCAAAATCGTGTTATATGCCCACCAAACACTTTAAAAAAAAGTTTTTCCAGAATGAATTGACCCTTATAAAAATTTACAAACATCATTTTAAATGATATAATTTTCAGCAGTCCATTCAGTAGAATCCTAAACTTTTTAGACAAGGTTCTTACCCTCAAATAGTACTCTATGCTTTTGCTTATTGAGAACTTGCCTCCTATTTATTCATGTCTTTTACCTGGCATTTTCTCCCATTTCCCTGAATTAAAGTGTGTAGATGCCACCTCCATTCATTCATTCACACAGCAAATATTGATTAAGTGCCTGCTCTGTGCTAGGCATTATTTTGGGTATTAGGGAGAAGTTGGTAGACTGTCTTGTCCGTACCCTTATTGGGAGCATATGACATGTTCTCCTTTGTAGTACTACTTTTCTAAATATTTATTTCTTCTCCAGTTAGTTCACAGATTTTCTTAGGACAGAGACTATGTCTTTTATCATAGTGAATATATTTCCTTTCCTATGCAAAAATGTTTGTAATTGATTTAAATCGTTGGAATAGACAATTCATTTTTAAAAATGCAATTTTGTAGTACTTTCTTATAGTCATGTAATTAAGAGGTTAGGACTTAGGTTACCTTGGTAAAGATTTTCTGTCTTTTTTAAAATTATAGGGGATGCTTGTTGAAGGACCACCGGGGCCCGCAGGACCTGCAGTATGTAAATGTTTGAAGATTATTTTTGTCTTTATTTTTTTATAATCGGATAGAAAACTTGTAGTATATTATCAAATTTATATATTTTAGACTAATCCGAATATGAATTATAGAGGCAAATATTTACTCGGAGGAGCTGGTAGCCTTGAACTGTCTTCTAATTTGTCGATCCTGGTTATATTCTTTTGAGTGCCCTGGACCTAAGTTTTGTTTCAAACATTTTTCTTGCTTAAATATCTCTGTATCTATCTTCTAACTTCATTTTCATATTTCTACTGAAAATTATAAAAGTAAAGAAAAGCCATCCTCATTTTTATGACAGTTGAAGTTATGTCTTAATGAATGGAAATTGAGAATCCTAAGTAAACTGTAGCTTCCTTATCTGGATTTCTCCATGAAGTCATTTTCAGACTCCATTGTGGTTTCCTGATAAGACAGGTGTAACTCAGTGTGTTTATTCCAAGGTGATGTACTGTTCAAGCCTTGTAAGAAATCTTCCATGTTTTGAGGAATTCATTGTATTCTTGTCATCTGAAATAATGTACGATGTTGATGCCTTTAAATACTTTTACCCACAAAATAAAATATATAAGTGCCTCCAAGCTAAATGATTTCTATACTTCCACCTTGAGTATCACATTTTTAAAATCTAGTTTTATGAGTAACCATTTCTGCAGTAAGAACTAGGAACCAACTTCTTCTTCGGGGACTTTACAATGGCAGGTTCTCTTTTCCTGTTTTTCTTTGGATTGTTTTCCTTCACCTTGAGAGCACCTGAGCTAGCAATAAAGTAATTTCTATATGTTGCCTATTCATAAGAAGATAAATCAGGAAATTGTTGAGGAGACAAGTGTATATTTATGAAATATAAATGAGTTATCTTTGATTTTAGTAGGGTGAAATGGCTGAATACTAAGGAGATGAAGACTGACTCAGATTATGGTGTTTCTCTATAGGGTCTGATGGGTCCTCCCGGTCTACAAGGCCCCACTGGACCCCCTGGTGACCCTGGCGATAGGGTAAGTGAAGCGATATCTCTTTACAGATGCATGTCACAGGCTAAAGTGTTAAAATATATTCTACAAATTCAATATATTATCCTTCCTGCAGGTGGAAGGGGTGGGGGAAATAAGTCTATGAATTCAACATTTTAGTTAACTTTTTAAACTATTATTTGAAAGTGAGAGTAAGGAATGCATTTATCTGTGGTGTAACTGGGAGGCAAACATGTATTTTCCACATTGATATGAACTCTTTACATTTGATTCCAGTCTTCAAATCTGAATTCCAACCATATGTTCCAGACATTCCCATTGGCATTTAGGTGGATGCTGATAGAATGAGTTAATAAGCCTAAATTCTACTTTGGTAATCAAGACCCAGGTTACATGGTGAAATATATTATTTGTGTTAAGTGTCTCTAAACTCTTCTTGTAAAATCCCTTTGCCTTTTTTTCTCATCCTTGAGTAGCCAGTTGCTTTATGCTTTTATTTTTTCCTTTTGTTCTTTTAAAAATAGTTGGCCAGAGATGCAAGTGGCTTTTTTAATATATATATTTATAATTTAAAGAAGGCAAAACTTCTTTTTAACTTAAACTTAAGAAAGCAATATTTTAAATATTTCAGAAATTCTGGTCTGAGTGAGAGCTATTTAAGGTCAGAGGGCATAAGCAGTGTATTTTTTGCTTAAAATGAGACTTACAAGGTGAGTTTTTTTTTAAATTAGGTCTATTTATTAACTCCAGTTCAATGGAGAAATTTATTTGAATCAGTCGCTAAAACTCACCATATTTTCTTAAGACCCTTTTGGATTCTATAATTTATTGACTTTCAAACTCTACTTCTAGTAACAAATTCATATCTTAACATCGTGCCTTAAAAATATAGATATATAAAATGTAGGAATACTTTATGAAAGGGAAATTATATCTATCAAGCTAGGTTTGCTAGGGCTGAAAATAGTGACTTATTTGTAGAGGCGATTATTTGGACTTTAAGGGCTCTTTAAAGTCTGTAGAGAACCTATTGAAATAATATTTTATAATCCTGCCAGTCTAGAATCAATGTTAGCTCTTTTCTAAGAGTTAACTTTCTCTATAGAAATTTTTCGTTGGAAAAGACTTGCTGTATATACTTTTTTATCGCATGGGTAGTTTGAGTTGTATCTTTTTGTGCCTAGTTATTGATTAATTTTAGAATTTACTCCTTACTCCACCAACCATGCCTTGGCTGTGTAGAAATACATGATCTTATATTGAAAGCCTATGGACATAAACCCAAAATGCAGGAGTCACAGACTCATGCACAGATGAGATGTATTTAATTCTCTACAATCACATTCATATCTTGGCTTTCCAGATATCACAGACACACATAAACTTCTTTGCACACATACATACACTGAATTCATCTCATCAATAAACATTCAGAATAAATTAGTGATTATCTGTGATTAGCGTGTTAAAATTAGCAATTGTCTGTCTCTATAAAGTATTTACCTTAAAGAAAGTATCTAGTTAAGCATTTATTAAAAACTAACTATTAAAGAATATTTAAATATACCTTATACTCATTAATTCAATTTTAAATGAAACTTTTATTTACTTAAATTCTGTTTTTTATCTAACTGTGAGAACCAAACTTTAATTACTTGATTTTCTCACATTGATTCTCCCAAAAATATATATGAACTCTTCCTCTTACACAGTTTGAGGCTGCAAATAAATTCTGAACAAAATTTATATCTTAATTAGATTATACCTTAATAACCAAGCATTAATAAAATTATCTAAAATTAGTGCCATGAAATACTATCCTTTCAAGGTATACTTACTAAAAAGAGATTAAATAAGGTGGGGAGGACAAATGAAAATTAGATTATATTAGTATAAGTTACTCTACTTATAAATTGTATCATTTGTCTTATTTATTTTGATTATTTTACCATCTTCCTAGGGCCCTCCAGGACGTCCTGGCTTACCAGGAGCTGATGGTCTACCTGGTCCTCCTGGTACTATGTTGATGTTACCGGTATGTTTTTTTAATGTGTTGAAGACCACTTGATATCTTGTCATCTTGTTTCTAAAAAATATTGTTGAAACATATTGCAGGGAAGTCAGCTTGAAACCATTCTGTGAGGTAGAGAAACTTGAAATCAAGTAACCCTTGGAAATTAAGGAAAATTCCATTAAACAAAAGTTTGGTGAATGTCAACTTCTTCATTAGAACTGAGGGTTAATTATTTGATTATACTTTTGGCAACAAAGTTTTTCTAAATATTTCCAACATGGTTTATTCTAGGTTGGATAAAAACATAGTATTTGCCATTATGTAGACTATAGTTAAATCTTTTGAAAGAAGGTATATGATATATAGATACAGATTTATAGATAGAGCATTGTTCACAAAGTATCAGCTTCACCATATATTCCTTTGTAAAGTTTTTGTTGTCCTGATGCTCTGCACAAAATAATAAAATTGTATTTGACTTATCAGTTCAAGTGAAATAAAATTTCAGAAAATAATTACTTAGATTGAAAAATGGACTCATGATGCATTTGGAGTTCAAAATAAAATAGAGCTTTAGAGTTTTGTATAGTGAATATTAGGGAGGATCAGTTTTCTAGGATAATTGCTTCAGAATAGGTACACAAAATAAACATATCTCAAAGAAAATTTCGTATGTATTCATGGCAATTCCAATCATTTTGATCAACAAAATAAAGATTGCTCTATCATCATCACTGAACTTAGTAAATTTGGAATTTTTACAAGTGAATCCATAATATGGGTGGCACCGGTTCTGATTAAAAAAAGGCATGATGGTTATTCAAGAGTTGCAGACATTATAGAATTTAAAATTGAAAAGGAGTTTCTAGTCTCTTCTTTTACAATTGGCAAAATGTGGTATATAGAACTTCCATAAGAGATAGAAGGAGAATTTAAATATATATCTCCTCACTCATTCTAGAGTTACTCTGGACTTTTACAGAATCCCACCCTTTTAGTAAGTGGTCGTTTCTTAGTGATCAAGGTCTCTAATTCAACATACTTGACAAGGGCTGATTTTGCCTTTCTTTGTTATCTCTCTGAAGTTCCGTTATGGCGGCGATGGTTCCAAAGGGCCAACCATCTCTGCTCAAGAAGCTCAGGCTCAGGCGATTCTTCAGCAGGCTCGGGTAAGAAAGGTCAAACATGCTTTCTCATAAGCTGACTCTGTGTCAAGTATGTGTGTGTGCTTATGGAGGATGTGCCACGATGAACCGGATACTTACTTCTGAAGAATATATTTGATCAAGTTAGAAAAATGCTAAAATTAGATTTATTTTTTAAGTATAATATTTATTAATTAAATATTAGAGTTAAATCACTGACCCCTGCAATATTGCCAAATATAATTCCGGCAGTCCCCCACCACAACACACAAAATGTTTATTTTTTTTCAGAGTATCGATGAATTTAGACCTAGTACTCTTTGGCATCCAGTTTTACCTTGTTAAAGCATAAGCCAAGGATTGATGGTCACAGTTACGAAAATAAAGTTTGAAATATAGTCGTTCCTCTTCATCCTCTAGATTATTTAAGATATCTCATCCAGAAAATTAAATGTCTTGTACCTCATGTATATGAAAATGACATTCAAATATGTATCCTAAACTTTAATCTATAATATTTGTTTAATTTTGCTTAATCTTGACACATCTTCAGCTTGTAATTCTTTGTTAGTTGAATGCTTCCGCGACCTATAGACTTATAAAACATATGATTGCATTTATTTTAAAAATTGGTTTCATTGCAATTAAAATATATATAAGAAAATCAAAAGAATAGTCTAGGAAGGAGTCAGAAGGCATATATACTTTTATTCAAAGTATTGGTTTTCTTTTTAAGGAAGACAGAAATAAAGGATTTATAGTTGATATGGATATGGCTACCCACTTCCCAACCAATATAAATCATTTCTGTGCTATACTTGTATTCGTCATCACGAACTTATTTGTGTATTAAATATCTGGAAACATAAGTGAAAATTGTAATTCACCTTCAATGTCTGTTTTTGTATTTCTATTAATCTGAAAAGATATCAATATTTGGTTACATCATATATAAAGATCATAAAAATTTAAAATTAGCTTATTAGACCTTGTCATAATACAAATCCAAAAACTTTAAAATAATTTACTAATGATTCCTACAATTTATTTATAAATTATGTTATTTCGAATAATTTTAAAGTAATTTTTGAGCTTAAATATTTTATGAGGTTATTGCATTCCTCATGTTATTAGTCCTCTTCACCTACTTGAAAAGTAGGTAGCAAGCATTATAATTCCAATTTTTCAGATATTTATTCTCAAGGATTAAGAAGTATATTGTCAAAAATCTCATGGTGAGTCAGTAGTGAAACTGGAGATCCTACTGTTTTTATCTTATGCACTTTTCTAGTGTGATTTTGCATTTATTTCTCTTACAGTATTTTTTATATCTTTTGTAATAAATCTGTGTTCATCTTTTGAATTCTCTAATATTCCAAAATAGCACACCATACTAATTTAACAACATCCAATTTTTATCTTTTGTAATGTATGTGTTCCAGCTTTTTAAGTATGCTAATTTCACATTTCTAATATTAGTGTAATGGTAGTGCATGTAATCAATGTATAATGCCTATGTGTATACAACATAAATATATTCTTCTGTATTTATATCTGAGATATGTTAAAAGGCACATATTATCATAAGACTTTCTGATAGGTTTTGTTTTGTGCTGTCTGGCTTTAGTTACCATAATTTTTCCTTAAATAGCTAAAACATTTTTACTTAAAGCTCCTCAAATTGTTCCTACACATTTAAGAGAAGCATACACATTATTCTGAAATAAATTTAGAATAAAAAATTATCAGATATTAGCTTTGTTGCTCTAAAAGCTATTTTAACTCTTATTACTGATTAAATCATAATAATATATGCTAGGTAATTTTGTCTAATATAAAGCGGTTTAAAAACATCTAATAGTTATGTCTTTTGTCATTCTAGACACTTGCAATTCTTTGGTATCTGACACTCTATTCAGCATGTAGCTATGATTTCTGTGTTGATCATGTGTTACTTAAAGGTAGCTTGTGCAAATGAATATTGTGTTTTCATATGCTCTTCCAGGAGAACATTACTGAACTTGATATATTTTATTTTCTAGATTGCTCTGAGAGGCCCACCTGGCCCAATGGGTCTAACTGGAAGACCAGGTCCTGTGGTAGGTTGCCTCAAAAAAGATAATGTGTGTTAACAATTGCAAATTAGCAGTTCCCTGTGCTACTTCTGTCAGGCATTGTGGGTATCTCTGGTTTGTGAAAACAGTATACATATTCATCTTGATATTGTTTCCATTTAAAAATTTCATTCAACTCAGTTTTCAGCATGTTTTGGTGGAAAAGTTTCAGTGAAATGGTTTCAAATCAAATCGATAAATTAAAATATAATTAATATCCAAATATTACTTTTTCAAACTATACTTATCATTTATTTGCTTAACATTCAGTTACCAAAATGCATTTTACATTAAATTCTTGAGATTTAATTTCATATTAAACAGAATTTCATTAAAAAAACAAAAAAATATTTGCAGCCAGAGAAAATTATTACCCAATATTAGGGGCAAGCAGGATACTTGCTTTCAACTGCAGGTTGCCTCTATCTTCCATGAGTTACTTCAGATATTCAGAACATTATTTTCTCTTTTAGAAACTCTTGGCAAGTAATAGAGTATTATTTTTTCCTTATACATATAATAACAAACTAAGATATTTTAAATGGTTTTCTAAAATATCTTCACATGCACCTAAATATAGCAACATTAAGCAGTGTAGCAATTCACAGAACACTTGATACTTTTCAAACCATATTTTTTCTAGAGAAAAGAATATGACAGCATTCAAATCAAGATTCTCATTAATTTCAGAATTAATTGAATGTATAATTTCTACTCTAAGAATTTGTTTTTCAATATAAAAAGTTTTTTTCTACTATGCATTCATATGCTTACAACATATTTTGTGGAAAGAAAGCTATTTATAGAGTGCATTAATCTGAGGGTGAAAATCTTATGCATTGTACTTAGTATACAATTATAGCAAAACTATTTTATTCAAATTTGAATAAAGTATTTAGTCTCCTAATTATTTAATCTCTTTTACTGATCATGTTAGGATGGCAAATAGTTTTCTTCACATATTTTATTCAAAAGTTTGTTGGGTAGTTTTCCAGACATTTATATTTTCCATATTTAAGTCTTGAAATTTTGTAATACTATGTATTTTGAAGGAGCATATGTCGACATTTTGTGGAACATATGATCTGATATGCTTCACAGAATTTAAAGTATACACATTATCAAGTGTTTCTTATGTATTTTTACTGTTCTCCTTTGAAAATACAATAAGTAATATGGAAGATACTATCACTTAACACTATCTGTTATAAGTGATATTATCACTTAACAGATGAGGAAATAGAATTAACATTTAATTGCTGTTTATGACAATTTACATAATTAAGGAAAATAAGTAGTATGCTAGTATTTTGTAAAATTTGGGGGCAGGATAATTTCCTAGTTATTATATTAAAAATAAAAATTCCTAGGTCCTTGAACTTGAGACTTTGATGTAGGTTCGAAATTAGGACTGCCAAAATGTATTTTCAATGCATATATCAGATTGGTTCCTCTGGCCAAGCAAGTTTGGGAAACATTGCCATATACTATTTAATTTATAAATATCAGTCCTAAGATCTCTAAACTGGCATTATCCAAAGGAATTTCATAGCTTAGCACTTTCACAAAAACAAGAAATTAATAGAGGCCAAGGGCAGTGATGAGCAGAACCAGTGGAAGTACATAACATTCTGTCCACCAAACAGCTTTGAAGGGTCAACCAGTTTCCACAACTTGTTGGCAACGAGAAGACACTGACAACCATATACACACTCTTAATGTCATAGCCAAGATTAATTAACTTCATGAACTTATCTCTTTGTTATGGAAAGTTTTAGCTTCCTTAATTATTAAAGACAGATATGAAGAACAAAAAATTATATTGCTTCTTTCTACCATTTTTCTTTTATATTTTATTCCTAAACATGCAAATTTTTGCCATCAAAACATCACATTTTTAGGATTCTCCAAATATTTGTTAATTCTAGGGTCTTAGAAAGTACTTTACAAATTAAAATTTGAAAAAGAAAGTTTACATTAATGTTTTAACTTAAATGTTTTATTTTTCCAATGAAAAATTATTTTATCTAATTGTTTTTATAATGGAAGACTATATTATAAAATGTCCAAGAAATTTAGAAAATGGTATTTTTTTCCTGGTCTAATATTGTCAATTATTGTGTGACAATTTTAGAATACATATTTGGGCAAAGTAATTGCAATCTGTTGAGTAGTATCGCTTATGTAGAAATAATATAACTTAGTCAATTAATTACAAATACATTGACTATTCTATAATTGCATTCAATTCAGTAATTAACAATCTGATTAATGAAGAGTCTCAGTTTATCTCTTGCAGAAATTTAGTTGCAAGAATTCTTAATTAGAAGCTGGAAAGTCATCATTCTTCCAATTTTCAAAATTAGAAAATTTATGTTACTTGAATTTCTGTATTTCCTGGGGATTATATTATAGATATTTTACTTTGCAACCACCAGGAGGGTATAGATAGCTAATATTTTTAGATTTAGTATAATTTTCATTTTTATTATACTTTTATTCAAGGAACCACTTAGCAGAATGGGTATGGATTTAAATAAATTAAAAAATTTTAACAACTTTTAAAACATGCATAGTATTTCAGCATGAAATAACTATAATCACCATGTTCATTTTAATGTCCTTAATGTTTTTTTTGGAATATGAAAGGCCTAATATTTATTTTTTAAACTCACAACTCCTTTATAAAGCAATCTTATTTATTTGTTTTCAGTTAATGTGCCAGACTTTTATTAAATCTTTTAAATTATATAAACATTTGTAGGAGATGTTTGTTATAAAGACTTATTCTCATGGAAATAAAAACAGTCTGGGAAAACTGTTTTGACATTATTTCAGGACAATTATAACGATACCAATAGCATCTGTTCTTGCCATTTTATTACTATACAATTTGGCATCTAAAAAATGTCTGCATATGAAAGCCAGAATATTTTGCCAAGACCTTACAGTATAAATGGTTTAAGTGCATACACACTTTTAAAAATTTCCATGTGATTTTATGGGGTTGGCTTCTGTGTAGTTATACAAAAACTCCCCCACACCTCCCAAAAAAATCCAAAAGAGAATTAACTTTTGGAAGGCAGACCCTTTGTAGTACAGGCTTCCCCTGCTAGGTAAGTGTTCTAAGAACCCGTAGGCATCAGTGTACCAGCTATTGTTGTTGTGAGAGGCTGTGTTGGGTCTCAGTGAAATTTTTTGGAGATTCTTTCAAACACGTTTGCCCATTACCTGATGGGCATTTACTATTGCACCTGCCCACATTGCGCTGAGTGTTCAGTATCTGGGGACCAAAAACAGCCTGTCCCATTTTCCCTATTCACCTGATCTCGCCCCCAATGACTTTTTGTGTTTCCTGGATGAAGAAACAACGCTCAAAGGGAACATACTACCAATGTGGAACAGGGGAAAAAAATGGCAGAAGCACTAAAAGGCATCAAAATTGACGAGTTCAAAAACTAAGCAGAGGAAAAAGCATCTTGATAGGTATATTGCATCAAATGGAGAGTACTTTGCAGGTGACTGAAGTTTAAATATGTAACAATAAATACACAATTTTTATAAATATTTTCATTTGAGGAGTTCTCCCCCATACATAGCACACAGACTTTTAAAACGTAGCTCACACAGTGGCATAAAATCATTATGCTGAAAAGAGATTTCCAAGGACTCGAACTTTTTATTGTGTCAATTAGTAAGATCATACTAATAGGATCGAATGTATTTTGAACAAAATTTAGTTATTTCAAGTGAAAATGGCAGGATAGAAATGATTTGAGAGTTGCTAAATTGATTATATCTTCACCTTTTCTCTCTAGGGGGGACCTGGTTCATCTGGGGCCAAGGGTGAGAGTGGTGATCCTGGTCCTCAGGTAAAAAAAAACAAAAAAAACCCCAAAAACCCTAAAACTTAATAATTTGTTCTTTTATTCTTGCCTTTATTTCATCTAGTAGGGCAACTGAAGTATCTTCTATCTGTCTTATGAGTCAAGAAATTATTTACATTATCTTTAAACCCATATCACCTCATCATCTCTCTTAGTTGGAAAATCCAGAGTGACCGGTTGACTACTAGTAACTTAGTTAATTTAACAATGTCAAAAGAAGCACACCCACTGCAGTGTACTCCAGCCTGAGTGACAAAGCAAGAACCTCATCTAAAAAGAAAAATAAATAAATAGAATTGGACAGGCTGAAGACAATAGGCCTTCAAAATACTATATTGCTATGTTGGCTCAACATTGTGCGTTGCAGTGCAAAATGACTGCAATTGTATTTATAGTGGTCCTGCTTCACACTCAGGTTTATTGTAGTGAGTACACTTAACACATTATCTTAGAAAGGGAGTTTAATGTACTTAAAAGAAGCTAACATCAAAACCTTTATAGAGCTGAGGAAATTAAGAGAAATCGTGATATAAGCTGAATTTTTAAAATCTTTAATTATATTTACATGGTGCCAAATTGAAAATATTATTTTTTTTCTGCTTAATAAGTAGATAGAGCCATTACATTATGAATGTGCTTGATCTGGAAAACAAAATTTTATGTTGTATTTTTAAAATGCTTTTATTTTTAAATGAAAATACTTCCTGATATAAATTTAGATGGGGCTGCAGTAGCCATCCACTAATTTTTTTCTTTTAAGTTAATTTTACTTTGGGAATATTATAAGGAAAATTGAGTTATAACACTTACATGTATTCTTTGTAACCATGACCACACTCATCAGGATAGAAAATGGCTCCATAGCCTCAGCTTCTTGGTGTCATCCCTCTGCAGTCCAACCCTCTTTACTCCTATCAGTTGCCAACCACTAATCTGTTCTTTATCACTACATTTATCTTTTCAACACTTTTGTATAAGGAAAATCATACATTATGTAATCTTTTGAGGCTGGTTTCTTGGGCACAGCAGTACTGCCTTTGAGATTCATCACATTTGATGAGTGCATCAATAGTGCATTCTTTTTTGTTTCCATTGAATGGATATACCACAGTTTATTTTGAAATAAGTTAAAAGTCTGGAGAAAACTGATGAAAATATGTAGGTGATTCAGGAGGTAGCAAGCTTGTTTTTTAATGCTTGGTTAACACTGCCATACAAGAATCGAAAACGTTTGCAGCCTAACTGGGAATTGCATAAAAATATTGAAATTAATGCTACTTGAGAATTAAGGGAGCTTTTTTTTGTGCAAAGTTTGTGAACTTTTCAATCAACATCTTCTGTTTATAAAATAGATGAATAGATATCATTGTTTTTTATTGATTTTGTAATTTTCCTTGATTCTCTAAATCCAAAGACAGAAATAGGATATTAAAGGAAGGATTATTTTCATTGAAAACTAGAAATATTTGTTCTGTTATTTTCCCCCTGCACTCTAACTTGAGTTCAGGTTAGACTCCTCTCACTGCAATATTTTTAAAATTAAGCTATTCTTTTTAACCTCTGATTAATAGACAATGCTAACGATATAGTTCTAGAATAAACATTTTACAGTAATCATACAATTATTTGTATTTTCAAAAGTGGGTTGCATTTTTCTATTATGTTCACTATATGCATATTATTTATATTTTATAAAAGGTTTGTAGTTAGTTACATATAAAGGCTTACGTAATATTTATAGTGGAACTATAGTTGATCTATTATTAACTATGCAGTTTTATTTTAAATCATTTATATTGTTCCCAACGTTCTGCATAAATTCACACAACATTGTTGTACTTCTACTAAAGCCAAAGATAATAGATTGATAATTTTTAACCTTTAATTTAACACAGCATAGGGCCAGTCAGTAACTTTCCTTAGGGATTGCCAAGACATCCTCCAGAGAGGACTGAAGAAACATGTTTCAGGTGCCATGTTTAATTGTGAGCATATAATGGGGAAAAAAATAGATTGATTTATTTATCCTTATTCTGAAATTATTTTATTTTACTTTTTCTGACCATTACATTTTAACCTTAATTAGGCCAAATATTTTCACACAGACAGACATACAGACAAATGAATACAAAATTACAGACAGACAAATGAAAACCAACAGATTTAGTCAAAGACCTTAGCAGTTAACAATGTAATGGGCAATTCCAATATGAGAAAAACCACTGCAATCTAATGTGCCAAGAGTGGTGAAAGAAGAAATGTCTAGGAGAGGACATCCAGAAATTGAAGAGAAAAGTGAAGGAAAGGGCAATGGAAAGGGAATTAAAATGGAGTGGACACTTACGAGTATGTCCAGTTAAGGGAAATGTAGAACTCGAAGGCTTTGAGAATAAAGTGAGTAATCGGGAAAACTTTTAAAATTTAAAATATACTATTATATTTTCTTTGTTCAAATGTCATCACATGTTTACCTATGAAAGTAATATCACCTTTTTTGGTAAGAAGCCATTTCGAAAGAGTAAATATTTACTTTATATAAACCTCCTGCCTTCTGTTTGATCTGAACCTTTACGTAGAAATGATTTCCTTGTGTTTAAGTGATTAAGGTAAAGCGAACGGGATGTTAGCTTCTAACCCCATCTCTCTTGATGTTATTGAGTTTATTGATAAAGAATTCTGTAACATGGTTTAATTTTGCTATAGGGTCCTCGAGGTGTTCAGGGTCCCCCTGGTCTGACAGGAAAACCTGGAAAGAGGGTACGGCTTATTTTTCATTGTGTATTTTGAGAGCATCTGCAGTGATGATTTATGTATAGTTTACTCTCTGCTAGTAAGAATCCCTTTGCCTAATCACGTTCTCGGCATTATCAGGGTCGTCCCGGTGCTGATGGAGGAAGAGGAATGCCAGGAGAACCTGGGGCAAAGGTTAGGCACTCACATATTTGTATATTCAGATCTTGTATGTCAGTTCACCTTGGAAATTTTATATTTTAAAATAAAATTTCTGAGCCTGGCGTGGTGGCTCACACCTGTAATCCCAGCACTTTGGGAGGCCAAGGTGGAAGAATCATTTGAGCCCAGGAGTTCAAGACTAGCCTGGGAAAAATAGTAAGACCCTGTCTCTACAAAAAAATTTAAAAATCAGTTGGGTATGATGGCATGCACTTGTATTCTCAGCTACTCAGGAGGCCGAGGTGGGAGGATCACCTGAGTCCAGGAGATTGAGGTTGTGGTAAGCCATGATCGTGCCACCGCCCTCCAGTCTGGGTGACAGAATGAAACCCGTACTCAAAACATAAACAAATGATATTAAATAAAAATTAAAATAAAATTTGGGGGTAGGAAAAAATATTTTTCATTTAAACTGTCATGCATCTAGGCTGGGAATGTGGTGGTGGTGATGATGAAGATGCCGATGATAATAATGATGCTGATGCTGATGATGATGGTTTTACAGGGAGATCGAGGGTTTGATGGACTTCCGGGTCTACCGGGTGACAAAGGTCACAGGGTAAGTTATATCTATTGCTTTTTTTCAGGGATACTAGGAGTGTTATGAAAGATTTTTAAATCTGAGGCAGTTTAGAAATTCAGAAGAAGATAATTAATTTAACTATTTGTGAATTTGTTTAGTAGTCACACGTGTGACATCTTGATTATTTTTAGACATTAAACTACTTATTGTATGCAAACATAAATTGAGGCAGAATCTTTATATACAGGTATGTGGGAAATATCACATTTGTTGAAGAAAAGCTACGGAGATTTAATTTTACTTCTAGATTCTGGATACTTGGCTCAATTTCCCTCTGACATTTTGTCTGTAGAAATATACTCAAAAGAAGACATCTGTAGATACTCTGTCATTAGTATATTAATATCCTGGGCACTCTGTTATTTCCTTGTAATAATAGGAGCTTTCAGTTCAAAGAGCTTACAGTTTGTGAACAAACCACCATACTTAATAGCAGTACAAGTAAATATTTTTAGTGGGAAATTAAGCAGAGACAATCTCTCAAAAAAAGATCAGCTTTAGATCTTGACGTTCTTTACCAGATGTTAAGAATGAAGCCAGGACAATCTTTAGGCAAGTTGGAGAAGGGAGAAAAAAAATGAAGAAAAAGAAAAGAGAACCCTACAAAAGTGCAGCAGAATATTGTGTCTGCCTAGTATATGTGTAGATCAATATATAATTCTACCTTTCATAAAAAACAAATATTTCTTGAGTTCTCTTGAGCTGTGCTGATTTAATATAAATTACTCATAGAAGTAGAAAATATTTAAGTTAAAATCAACGAAAGTATGTCCATGTTTATTGCAAGCTTTAGCAAAATAATTTTCTAAATGATTTAGTTTATAACAATTAAATGTGTGAAAATTATTTGGTATTCATTTTATAGAAACCTTTTGCATTTAAAATTGAGGGAATATGTTTCTTAGCTTACTAATATGCAAAACTGATTGAAGTTGTAAAATTATGCTGTCTCTGCAAAATATTCCTAGGAGGGCAAATAAAGCATACTTTTTTTAGTTAGTACAGTTACCTGCTAGACTTGTAAATGTCCTGCTTATTTCTTGTGCTAATCATTGTGTTTATTTAATAGGGTGAACGAGGTTCCCAAGGTCCTCCAGGTCCTCCTGGTGATGATGGAATGAGGGTATATTAAGATTTATTTTTATTTATTTAAGAAATATTAAAATTTAAACATGAGGACCAAATCATGTTGAAATGATACATGTTCTAAATGCTCTATCCACCCATTCATTGTGTCAATTACAGGGAGAAGATGGAGAAATCGGACCAAGGGGTCTTCCAGGTGAAGCTGTAAGCAACTTTCTTTCTTTTTAAATAATAATATTCCTGTTTTTGAGGAATAGGGACTGGTGCTACACATATAATAGCAATGATAAACTCAGATAAATACTGCAGTCTTGCCTAATGTGACCAGAGAATGGTCATGTGAAAAAATACAAAAGGATATGCAGAGACCATCTTTTGTTATAGAGAAAAATCTTAGACAATGAGAGAAAAAAACTGTAGAATGTAGCATTTTGCAGCCCCAAAAAAATTACCTTCTGGAATTTGTGCTGCTGCTTCTTTGTTTTGTTTCTTTTTTCTATCATCAATAGCTCCGTATTCTATTTATGTATTTAAAGTAAATGAATCTTGTTACCAGAAGAAACAAAAGAATGTGGCAATGTATACCTGATATAAGGATGATATCATTTTCCCCCACTGAATAGTACAGATGAAGAAACTGAACTGGGAAGGTTTTCTCAAAGCTAGCTAGCCAAACAATTAGACTAGAAACAGGCCTCCTAATTGCAGTTTTAAATACACTGCATTCTAGATCCTGTCAAGTCACATAAATTCAAACAAGTAAGAAATCTCTTAAGAATGGTTCCTGTAATCAGCATGTAGGCAGCACAGTGGCTCATGTCTGTAATCCCAGCACTTTTGGATGCCAAGACCAGAGGATTGCTTGAGCTCGGGAGTTCGAGGCTGTAGTGAGTTATGATCACACCACAGCATTCCTGCTTGGGTGACAGAGCAAGATCCTATCTCTAATAAAAATAATAATAATACAATTTGTATACATATATACACACACACACACACACACACACACACACACACACACACACACATATAATTATCCACTGGTTGTTTCTTTTCCTCAGCCAAAGTTATTTCAAGATGGACTTTACCTAAATGTAAAATAAATGAGAATCGGGACTTTTCTATTTGCGTAGTATCTCTGATTGCATAATAAGATTCAGTGTTGCCATTCAGATTAGAACATGACACAAAAGTGTCTTCTTGAAAGTAATAAACTATTTCCCATTTTAAAAAATCCCTAGATGATTTGTATGTCAATTTATAGGATCAAAGATACACAGTTTCTGTATGACTCACCGTTATCCATTTTGGCTTTCAGATCATTATAAAGGTTAGATGTTTATGTGACATGAAAGCAATATTCTAAACATCGCTTTCAGTATGTTAAGAGAAGAGGTATAAATATTTTCACTCTAAACATTACCTTAGAGTTTGTCAGAGGAAGAAGCGCATTTTGAAGGCATTTCTTATGAAGACATGCTTTTCTTTTTCCTCTCCCATTCTAGGGTCCACGAGGATTGCTGGGACCAAGGGGAACACCAGGATCGCCAGGGCAGCCTGTATGTATTGATGGAAGCATTCAGGATTCTCTAGAAAAAGCTTGTTGCCAGACTCTTTAAAGCTTGGGAGGCCATAAAAGTGCTTAGAAAACAGCAGAGAGTTTAATGCCTTGTGATATTCTAAGATCTAATGATGCTGCCTATCAATTTATCTGATCATCCTCTTTCCCTACTCTCTTTTTTCTTCCTCTTGGTTATCTGTCTTAACTGTTTTCATGATAAATCCAGCATGCGGTGGAAAACGTTGCTAGATTGTGTCCAACGTGTATGTGGATAGCAAAGTATAGGTCTTGTCTTTTTCCTCATTTCCATTAAGTCTTAAATGATTTTTAGTCACCTTAGGCTAGTGAGTGTCATGCTATTAGGTTAGTCTTTTTGATTTTCTGTTTTAGCATCTTATAAGCAACCCTACACAATTTTTTTCTTCATTGAAGGGTATGGCAGGTGTAGATGGCCCTCCAGGACCAAAAGGGAACATGGTATGTAGCAAATATTCATAAAAATAACTTACCTTTAAATATGGGCACTAACAAACTATTTTTATTGGTAAATCTAAACTAAAGATTTCTTACATTTTGCTAAGTCCATCAGCTACCAGTAGCATTAAAATTTTGCAGTATTTTTCAGATATTCTTATGGGAAAACTGATGAGGAAGCTATTTTCCAGTTATGTGAAATAGCCCCATTGAAGACTCTTTCTGTTTTCCTATGACAGGGTCCCCAAGGGGAGCCTGGACCTCCAGGTCAGCAAGGGAATCCAGGACCTCAAGTAAGTCTAAGCCATCACATCTCTTTTGAGATAATGGGAGTATGAAGGTATCTTTTCACACACAAAAAACTCAACAGCTTCAAAATATTCGATGTAAACAATGTTTGACATATGAATGTTATATATATCTCTGTATGTAGATATACGTATTTCTTACTTAAAAAAAATGTGAGCAAGCTTGTGAAGTCCCCTTTCTTCCAAGAAAAAAAATGAGCCATTCAGTGTTCAGGGAATGCCAGGAGAACTCACCATACCTGCAGGAGGGTTTTGAATAGGATCACATTGCAGTCACTTTGCAAAAGAGTAGCTTGTGTAAAACTCTTTACCGTGTTCCTGAACTCTTTGGGAAAAGTGCTATATCTCATTTCCTGTGTAATAGAGAGATGATAATTTGCAATTTTAAGAGTATATTCTTTTAATGTGATTGTGATTACTGACATATATAAATTCTTTTAAAATAGGGTCTACCTGGTCCACAAGGTCCGATTGGTCCTCCTGGTGAAAAGGCAAGTTACTCTGTTGTTCTATAATGTCTAGTGAACATGTCTGGGTTAACAAGCATAGGCAGGTGTAAGTCCTGCCTTCTGTTTTTGTTAAGATATTTAAATGTTAAGATATTATAATTCTCAACACATAAATAATTTATCTAAAGTTAAACCATGAGAGTACAGTGTATTCATTTATATGTTCCTTTCGTTTTTTTTTTTTAAAGTAACGAGAAATTTATTCAGATGATAGAAAAGCTCCCAGCAGCAGGAAGGGACACAAAAAGAGAGTTGCCTGATTCATATGTTCTTAAACTGTGAATGTAAAATCTTGGTTACCATTTGAAAAGTTTCCAAATATGCTATTTTCAGCTATATTAATTTCAAGAATGTACTAGTATGAGAGAATGCTTCTCTTTATTTTGGTCTCTTTTTCTTTCTCATTATTAAAAAAATGTAATTAAGTTTACTTGCAGCAAAAGGTTTGTAGCAAGATCTGATAAAGGGAAAATTGTGACAATGTCATTGTTACCAATTCTCATGTATGAATAGCAAATGATGTTCTTGTTAATAACGCCATGTCTGGATTAAGACAAAAATAAATCTTTAATTAAAGAGACCTCTTTTTCCCTGATCTCCTCTGCCAGATTCCCTGAATAATAATTTTCCCCCTGTAGTGACAGCACAAGTGTTAACTGGCTTGTTTTAACACCTTTGTTTTTCTTATTTTTGTATTTCTATGAACATATCAATTTCTTAAATAAATTAAATTGTATTGAGGTATAATTTAAGTATTATAAAAAAGTCGCTTGTTTTAAATGTACAAATCAATGATTTTTAGTAAGTTTACTGAATTTTGCCAGTCTAACTTTCAGAATATCTATATGGATCTAGAATGAATCCTTGTGTTAATTTGCATTTCTTTGTTCCACTGCCAGACCTAGACAACAGCTAATCTTTTTTGTCTTATAAAGAAAAATCTATAAGATTTTCCTTTTCTGAATATTTTATATGAAAATATATAAATAACTTGAATATATGAATTTAATCATACGAATGAATATAATATGTAACCTGTATTTCCGACTTGTTTAATTTGGCATGATGTGTTTGAGGTTTAGCTATGCTGTAGCATGCATCTATCAGCATTTTCCTTCTTTATTTTTTTTTAACCATTGGCTGGATATAACCAGTTCAGTTCACCCACTCAGCACTTGATGAAAATAGGTAGTTTATGCTTATTAGCTATTGTAAATCAAATACTGCTGCTGTAAATATTTGCCTACAAGTCCTTGTGCAGACATGTTTTCATTTATTTTTGGTATATGCTAAGAAGTGGGATTGCTAAGTCATATGGTAAACTTAAGTTTAACATTTTAAGAAGTTTCCAAAGTGTTTTCCAAAGTGGTTGCACCATTTTTTCCTTGGCACCAGCAATGTATAGGATATTTTCTTTACATTCTCACTAATACTTGTTATTGTCTGTCTTCCTGAGCATGATCATCCCTGTTGGTATAAAATGGTATTTCATTGTGGTTGTAATTTGTATTTCACTAATTACTAGTGATGTTGAATATCTTTTCATGTGCTTATTGTCCAATTCTGTTACTCTTTTGATAAAATTTCTATTCAAATCCTTTGGTAGTATTTTAAATGGAATTAACGTTTCTGATGTAAATAGTCTTTAAAGTACTTTTTTGTGGATGTTTTTCTGTCTGGTTGCAGAGTGTTATTGGAAAATTTTCTATGAGTTCAAGATGTTTGGTTTTAAAGGTGATTTTAAATCTTTAGATCAGAGATTTTGATCTGGGTCACTTAAATTTTAGATTAGTTCATCTTATGCATACTGTGTTTATGTATTAAAATGTAACTATTGCATTTTCTACCATGATTTTATCAGTATGCACATGATTATTTAGAGAAATTTGCTCTTAGGGAAAACATTATATCTGAATTCCCTTTGTTGAGCTAGAGATAAAAGATAGACTCAGGTTCCCTGGCACTTCTGGTAGTTAATGTGCTGTCCTAAGTACATACCACTTCTGTCTTTGATCTCAGCATATCCAACTTCTAGGTTCAAAGACAGTCTCCATCAAAAGGAGAAAGGAACTCAAGACCATAAAAAATATGGCTTTTTAATTACAATGCATTTACAATATTTATTTTGTTTTATATCTATATTAAAAAGTAGAAGTTTTTGCTTCTATTTCTTCATGACGTAACTATGATCTGTTTATCCTGACCTGAGTGTTTTGTCTTCCAAAACTTGATGAATAGATTTTTTAATTGTATTATGGCATAATCTAGCATTTCAAAATGATTAAACTAATGTCATATATTTTTAATATCCAATAACTCTTACAGAATAACTCTAAGTTATTCTGGCTTGTGCTCTTGTTATGTTTGAATAAAATGTTTCATAAGATTTAAGTTAAAGAACTAAAGTGGATAGGGCAACTATTCTTTTTTCTGACATGTTAAGTAAACATACTGAAGATTTCCTGTGGTTTAATTTTTGAGTTCAGGATTTATATCATTCATATATCAATTGCTTTTGTATAACACTATCAGCCTAGTATGAAACAGCAGGCTACAAAAGAAATATTGGTTAAAGGGAGAGACTTTGAAAAAAATGAACTCGGACCTGGGTTCATCCAGATTGTAACTGTCAATATTAACATTGGTTAATTTACCCAAATCTGAGATTATAATATTGCCTAGACATTTTGAGAATGCAGGATGCATACAAATTGCTTAACATAGTGCATAGAAGCACTCAGAAACCTTGATTTATGAAAATTTAAAAAATATAACATTCATTCAACTTTATCCTCACCCTTCCAGGGAAACAGTAAACAGGAAGACAGACAAAACATTCTGCTGTCATGGAACTTCCATTTTGAAAGAGATATATTCATTTTATTTTGACTCAAGAACATCTTATGGTTTCAGTATTCCTTGTCTACCTTTAAATATATAGTAGCACACACACAAAAATCCATGCAATATTGCCCACAAAGTCCTTGTCACAGAAATATATAATATCCACTGATAATAATAAAGGAATAGTTCTGTGCTTGTGCAATACATTTTGTTTTGAAACAAATAAGAACATTGTCTTGAGAGCAAAAGGTAATTGAAGAGCTAAGCAAAATGATGCCATTAAAATGATATTAAATTATTTGACTGACTATGACTTTGCAGACTAGTGAAAAAGATTAAACTTTTAAGACCTTTGAATTAGATATAATTACTTTCTGTTATAAAATCTAAATTGTCCAACTTAAAGGTTACCTTTCATGCTTTTTTGTTCTTTACTTGAGGCTTTCTATAAAACTCTGCAATATCAGACATGAATGCAATCTTATCCTAATACTTTCTGAAAGGGGAAAAACAAAAAAACAAAACTAAAATAAGCTCAGCATTTAGGCTTGCTGATGTATCCTTGCCCTCTCCATTGTTTCTAAATCCTGGCTAACAACCAGTAAACAATAATGGTTTGGGTTCTGGGGATTTGATAAATTTAACCTTCAGCAGAATGCCTATGTTTCTCCGAAGAAAAGGTCTGTTTCTTGCAGTGGTGATTTTTGCCATGTTCCAAACTTAATGATGGTCACATTTAATGACATTTGAATCCCTCGGTAGTTAAACAAGATTAGAATGATATGATGGATCATTATTTTGTTATTTGTTGGTTGCATCTTAAGATATATTATTTTTACATCAAAATAGATTGTCCTATGAGTAATGATCACACTATAACATCTGTATTCCTTAAAATATTTTAATAATTACTAGTGTTTCATCAATGTTACTATGTAATTCTTTGAGTTGGCACTTATTAATATTATTGATGGAAATGTCCAATGTTTATCTCTTCAATGACATAAATCAATGGATTTCTGACTTATATGACTTTTCTTTTTATTCGTTAAACTCCAGTTTATTGTGGCATTCGAAACCTGATTTGTTAATTTTTTTAAAAAGACACATTTAGGACTAGTAAGCTGACTAAAAACTACCATATTTTTGATATGTTAAATTGGGTTTTTATTTTTATATGACATTTCTCACACATAATATGTTAAAAAGTTATTTAAATGTTCATTTCTTACAGATAGAAGCCAGCGACTCAAGTTAAAAATCTTATTGGTCAATGTTTTGTTAAGCATCAGCCAGGCCATGTGTTTTTTGAGCTATGGCCACCATGTTTTCTTAACTTGAGGAGGTGATTCTCCTCTCTCAAATTACTTTCTAAATAAACTGTATTTTCCAATCTAAAAAAAAAGAATTTTATTTGCAGTATATTTACAAGTCAGAACCTTTTGTTATTTTTATTTTTTTAATAAAATATTTTCTTTCTTTATTTGATAAGGGACCACAAGGGAAACCAGGACTTGCTGGACTTAATGGTGCTGATGGCCCTCCCGTAAGTAATAGCTATGTGATCATTCAAGTTTCTTTACATCATCCTCAAAGAGAGATTTTACATGTGTTTTAGAAATGAGTATATAAAGTCAGTGATAAAAGTAAATTGAGCCAGTCATTAAACATTGATCTCGCTAAAATACCTTTTTAACCTTGTCACTTCTATATTGCAAAATCTTTAATGAGCTCACAGTGGCTTTTGTATAAACTCATTCTGACATTTGAGGCCAGAACTTCCCCAGAATCTTTCTTTTTCCCAGCTCCAGGAACTCAAGCCCACTCACATTTTCTTATCTTTATCTAAGATTTTTATCACTATGCCTATTTCTTTTCATAGAGACCCTTTCTTCATCCTCTCTTTCTTTTCAAAGTTCTTATTTCTAAGAGTCCAGGTAAAGTTCCTCACATTTTCCATGAAAATTTCTTAGGCCTCGGGGATTTTCTCCTCCTGTGTAGATACAGCAATATATAATTTATTATTTCCCCTTATATAGTAATCAATAATGTAATTATGTAACTTCTCCCATTTAAAAATTTTTGTTTATAATTTTTTTCTCTTCAGATAACTTAGATTTTTGAAGCTAGGATGAAGGATTTTTCTTTCCTTTTTTTCTTTTTCTTTTTTTTTAAAGACAGTGTCTCCCTCTGTCATCCAGGCTGGAATGGCAGTGATTATAGCTCACTGCAGCCTCTATCTCCTGGGCTTACACAATCCTCCCACCTAGCCTGAGTAGCTGGGACTACAGGCACATGCCATTATGCCCTGTTGATTTTTAAACATTTTTGTAGAGTTGGGGGGGTCTCACTATATTGCCCAATCTGGTCTTGAACTCCTGGACTCAAGCGATTCTCCTGCCTCAGTCTCCTAAAGTGCTAGGATTACAGGCATGAGCCATTCTAACTAGCCTAGGATACATATTTTTTTAAGTCCTGTCTCTACTTGCTATTGAGTATAATTGTGATGCAGCTGTACATTTTTATTTACTGAATTTCAGTAACTTGATAATTACACATTAAATGTTAGTATTTATGATCTCGCTATGCTTTCAGATGTTTCATTCGCACACCTTAGTTGCTTTTTTGAAGGTGCATATTTAATCATTTGATCAATATGCAAAACAGAAGGCACATTTAAAGCCTTTTTGTGCGACTCTAATTTAGGCAGAGGTTGAACTGTTAATTAACAATATGCATTTCTTTATGTACTTTCTTCATCTCTCTCAAATGCATTATGTATTTGATGAAACTTACATTCATCAAATATAAGCTTATTGTATTTACTTCCAAATGCCGTTTCTATTATTTAAAGCCACCTATCCCGATGCAATAATGTTCAATAATTTTGAAACTCAAAGAAGAGCTCAGTAGATTTGAGAAGAAACTAAACAACTTCATAGTATTATCAACCACTAATATTGTATCTTATCAGTGTATGTTTTTGCTCAAATAGGGCCATCCTGGCAAAGAAGGCCAGTCTGGAGAAAAGGGCGCTCTGGTAGGTTCCAAAGTATTCTTTTCATGTCCTGTCAATTTATCTCCAAGAGAAAAATCCCTTAATTTTGTCATCTCTGTAACATACATATTCCTCCATGATCACTTAGTGATGTGAACATTAGAAAATAACTACCAGAAAAGGTCTCATTCCTACCTGCCTATGTGTCTTTACTTTCTGAAAAAATGTTTCTTAACATTTAAAGAGAAATTAAGTTCTTGTAGTTATTTTTGGTGTTAAAAACAGGTGTGCCTTAGAGAGATGACTTATTTTTGTATTAGTAATTTATACATTAGCCTGTGTACTCTGTGTTTTAAAAAATATTCTCATGATTAGAAATAGATTCACACTCTGCATATGTTTTGTACATGAAGTAAATGGCAATAATATATAGCAATGCAATTGCACAAAAATTACTGAATATCATTCAATGACTTATGTAAACTGATTTTATTTTTACCTATTACTTTCTGGTAACCTTTAGCTGAAAGGATATTACGTTTAAGACCAATGGTTATAAAAATATTGAGTTGAAATATCATAATAAAAAGGAATTCAATGGTAGGACCACTTTGGATTACAGTGGCAGGGATAGGATCTTTTTTTTGACAGTTGTTAGTTTTGAATTCCTTTAAAATAGCATTAATAGTCTCAACATTACTGTAGAAATTATAAATTATGTTTTATATGTTTCCTTAAGGTAGACAAGAATAATAAAAGAAGCTGTGGAAAATATATAATTTTGATTATATTCTTGATGATATAAATACTCCAAGTATACAAGTTTTCTATTAGATATTATTGATCCTGTTAGCTAATTAATATCTCTCTATGTAGATCTTGAGCACAGCATACTATGGTGATTAAAAATTTATTTATTAATTATTTAATTGTTTACATTATTTCACATACTTATAATATTTGTCTTATTAGCTCATTTAAATGTTATTTTTAGCCTGAATATATGATATGATAAATTTAAAAGAATAGTGTTGTTTACATGATTTGTTAATCATATCTGGCTCTAGAGACAAAAAGATAAACTACCAGAAGAAATCTTTACCAAATATTAATAGTAGAAAAATACCACATTCTTGTAGATTGGTAAATTTTAGTATGTAAATGAGTTTCATTCTTAATGTATTGTACATTTAAGTTACAATGAATTTTTTCCAGGGTCCTCCTGGTCCACAAGGTCCTATTGGCTACCCTGGCCCCCGAGGAGTAAAGGTAATTGTTAAATTGTTTCATATTATTTACTTATGATGTGAACTGTTATAATCATTTAATACTTCTCATTTATTCCATAGGGAGCAGATGGTGTCAGAGGTCTCAAGGGATCTAAAGGTGAAAAGGTAAAATATAATAGTTCAGTTGATTTAAATTTCTGTATATCTATTATGTCAAAATTTAAAATCGTTCAACAGATATAATATTTCTGAAATACATTGAATGATTACTTGCATCCTATACACTGCTAGTCTATTTTTGTATCCTGTATTCTGGAAACAACAAAAATGTATTATGTTCTAGGGTACGGGTTAAATAATTGAACAGAAGCCAAGGTATGGCATAAATAGAATTACTCTTGCATCTTTTTTTAACGTGTGTTTAATTTTTGTAAATTATGAGGTTGGCCTTATGAATGGATTTGCTTCAGGGTTTGGATGTTATACAGTTAGATGCATAACAGAGTAATGTATATTCCTTTTTTCTCTCCTGAAATACCCAAAATTTATACACAGAAATGCAGTGTACAACAGGGAAGTTAGAAGTACTCTAAATCAACAGGGTAAAGAGAAAAACTGTCTCTGTGATATTACATGCGAAGTCAAAGGGTTAATGAGGAAAAGAAAATAATAAAACCAGGCAGAGGTAGATACAAGAATACATCTAAGACTGTGAATGAATATTTCATCTTCTATAGGGCATTTATAGTTTAACTGACTTTAAATATGTGGGGTACAGTTCAGGGATGGGCATACACGTGTTCATTATGCAGGCACCCTTGTTGATGAAGTGTACCCCCCACGACCTCTGGCGGTTTCCCACTACTGCCAATCCCTTTCTTATAGTATTATGATAGTTGTTCAAGGTTCACTTATGAGTGAGAACATGTGATACTTGGTTCTTTGTTTCTGTGATAGTTCACTCAGTATTATAGACTCTAAGTCCATCCAAGTTGCTACAATGTTTGTAATTTTGTCCTTCCTTATGGCTGCATAATATTCCATCTTGTACATGTTTTTTTATCCAGTCTTCTTTCCATGGGCAGCACAGTTGGTTCCATGTTTTTGCTATTGTAAAAAATACTGCAATAAACATGAGTGTGTGCAGGTATCTTTTTCATAGTTTTTTTTTTAAACTATAGTCCACCCCTCCAACGGTCTGAGGGACAGTAAACTGGTCCCCTGTTTTAAAAGTTTGAGGACCTCTGCATGGTCACACCACCCTGAACGCACCCGATCTTGTCTGGTCTTGGAAGCTAAGCAGTGTCAGGTCTGGTTAGTACTTGGATGGCAGTCCAATAAATTTTAAAATTATGAATATATTGAAAAGAAAACCATAGCAGAAATGGCATCCCATACACTCAGTTCTCCCTTTAAAGATAAATAAATAAATCTCTGTTTGAAACAATCCTAAAAGTGGTTAGTGATTTTTTTTTTTTTTAGACAGAGTGCAGTATTCTTGAAACTAAACTTGACAACTGTGTAATTACCTTTTTCTCTAGAGTGAAAGTGATGAGGACTGCAGTCAATAGACAGTCAGGCGGTCTTTTCAGCACTTAAGCCTCTGCCACTACACAATCAGTACAGAGAGCCCCCTGCTCCTTACAAGGCCAATGAATGGCCAGAATGTTTAAAATATCATGCTTTTTCTCTTGATTAAAGAAAAAAATTCTAGGCCTGTCGGAATTTTTTAGTCGAGAGCATACAAGTTTGGCTCTCACTTTTCAGGTGTGTGAGACTCATATATTTGTGATTATCTGGTGTTTTGTATTTTCTGAACTGTGACATACCTTGCCAAACTCACACCATGGCATTTAGTAAATCTTTATTGAGCATTATGGCTTCTGGCTACTAAAGGTCAAAAATGTATTAGACACTGGAGACTCAGAGGTTAATTAGACATGATTCTTGTCTTTGCCTGTTATGTAGAAGGAAAACAACCTATCGTCTTCTAAATGCAGGATGAGGTATTATTGCAATAATGAATATTCAGTGGGGCACCCGGGATGGAGGGGTTAATTTTAGGAGGGAATAATTGATGTCAGGAAAAACTTCAGAACTGAATTCTGAGCCGAGTTTTGAAGGAAGGATAAAGTATCACCAGATGGACAGAGGAGGGAAATGATTTGCAGGTGTGTTACAAGTGGAACCACAAATAATTCAGTGTTTCTAGAACTCAATCCTAGGGTCTTCAGTGGGGTTGGAGGAAATTCAAGAAAAAAGACTGAAGAGATCACCTGATCCCAGCAGTTCGAGGCTGCGGTGGCTGTGAGCATGCTACTGCACTCTAGCCTGGGGCACAGAGTGAGACTCCAACTCAAAATAATCAAACAAACAAACAAGCAAACAAATAAAAGAGGGAGGAGGAGTTTCACAACTAGCATTCACATTTTTTGAAAACAATTTTCCCTAATTATCTGCACTGATATTTTCATATCTGTATTTTAGGCTATTCCAAATGACTGATTTAATTTTTTTATTCCTTATATATTTTTTTTAGGGTGAAGATGGTTTTCCAGGATTCAAAGGTGACATGGGTCTTAAAGGTGACAGAGTAAGTAAAAAGAAATTTTGCACTAGTACATGAAATTATACACATATATGTACACATATATACATGTAACTAAATGCAGCAAGCACAAAATAAATGTTTTACTACCTAAAACTTTTCTCATTTACATATTTTAATGAAGATTAGGAGCTTTAATTTTTGTAGAGACAATGTACTATCTTTAGTCTTTCATATATTTCCATAAGTTCTATAACAAGCATGCACACATGTATGCACACATGTGTACTATTATTATACACATAATTTTAGATAATTATCACAAAATTACTAGTTAAAAGAAATAATTTGATAAATTTGTTCAAAGTTTTGTTCATATATAGTGAACTATGCTAGTTAGAATCTATGTCTGCGACTTTCATGAATTTTCTTTATAGGGTGGTGTTAAATTTTTGAACACAAAAATGGTACTTTTTTTGTGGTAGTAAATTCTAGAAAACAAACAAAAATATGAGTCACTTAAAGCAAATTAACTGCTTTATTGGGAAGACTTATTTTATAAATAATATAATAGCAACTAATATATCTGAGCAAAGCAGCATACTGCAGAATACCTTTGCTTCCCTGAAATTCACATGAAGTCTGTGTCCAGGATGAGGGCTGGAATGGGGGGTAATGTCCATATCCCAATTCTTAACATCTTGAAGACAAAAACAAGGATACAATAGACATATTTTTCTTATGTTCAAAATAGTGGTTTCCAAAATTATTGGCTAATCGTCATTTTAATTTTTTTATTTTCTCTCTTTAACACAGATGTATTAAAGACAATTTAATGTCATATATGGGATCATCAGGCTTATATAGAGTTCCAATTGTCAGACTATATTCAGTTGTTTATTTGGTCATGGAAAGATTGATGAAGTGAAACACTTTCAAGCTTCTTTGTCACAAACAAAACATGAGTAAACACATCAAGAGTTGAAAAATCTGACTTTCTGATAGACTGTAACCTATGCCTTTCAGTCTCCAAATATGTTTTAATTTGTAAGGCTGTCATTATTCTGTGCTTCAGGGAGAAGTCGGTCAAGTTGGTCCAAGAGGGGAAGATGGCCCAGAAGGCCCCAAAGGTCGAGCAGGCCCAACGGGAGACGCAGGACCATCCGGTCAAGCAGGAGAAAAGGCCAGTAAACACCATTAAATCCAGAGGTCTTCTTGCAGATGCTGCTTCATTGTCACTTTAAACTACTTGAAATCACTGCAGTCAAAAATCTAGGCGCCTCTATCAAATGTCTGATAAATACTACCAAGAAGTATAATCATGAGATAAGCACATCTATCTTTTTGTTTTCCCACTACTTATTTTCTAGTCCCTTCTGTTCTTGACGCTGCAGGGTGAGCCATTCTTTTTTTTTTTTTCTGAGTTGGAGTCTCACTCAGTCGCCCAGACTGGAATGCAGTGGCCGCTTCCGGCCACTGCAGCCTCAACCTGCTGAGCTCCGGCGATCCTTCCGCCTCAACCTTCCGAGTAACCGGAATTACAGGCACGCGCTGCCATGCCCGGCTGATTTTTTTATTTATTGTGGAGATGAGGTCTTGCCAAATTGCCCAGGTGGGTCTCGAACCCCTGGGCTCAGGCATTCCACACACCTCAGCCTCCCAACGGGGGGGATTACAGGCTGAGCCACCGAGCCGGCTAGGGTGAGCCATTCTTAAAACTCTTCCACACTAGATGTTCAGAATTCGCATGTGATTAAAGGATGAAAAAAAATCAATAAATGATCTACTTATGGTTTTGAACCAAATGGAATCCTCTTTGCCCTCAACCTAAATGTGCATTTTCTTTTTTCCACTTAAATATGCAATTTTCACAGGGTATTTTTAAAAAATGCTTATGTTTGGGCCCAACTTCAAGAAATTTTAATTTTATTCTGGGGTTGACAGCACAGACATCATTATGTTTTAAAATAGCCCTGGATAATTCTGACATTCCTTGTTGCGAGAGACACTGGGCATTAAATACATAATGCCCAGTGACATTATGTAAAATATTTTGTGTCAAAAATATTTGCAACCATTACATTTACATTTAAAAGTAATATTTGGCAGTTTTAAAATTATGACTTCATAGACTATTTAGTGACAAGTTAAACTTTTTATAATGTACTGTGAAGTTAAATTCAAATGAAAACAACTGGAAATGTCAATGGTAAGTTTCTTTTTTTTCTTGTTATGTATACTAAAGCAAAATAGAAATATAAATAATATCTTTAGATATAATTCAAATGATTCCCCTTTATATATATGTGTGTGTCAATATAGACAGTAAACATGCCATTATTCCATAAAATAAAGAAATTTCATGTTATTTAAGAAAACTATAATCTTCCCTACACCATCTATCCCAGAAAAAAAAATCTGCAGGTATTGTAGAGAGATTGTGAATAGACAAATAAAAACCAGTTCCTTATATCCTTATGAATCATTGGCTGTGACAGTTCTTATACATTTCATACTTCCACAGTTTCACACTTTGAAAAAGGTTGCCATTTGTGAATCGAGGAACAATTTCACAGTGTTTCAGCAACAGAAGGAAAAGTCCGGAGGAAACAAGGCCTTGTTATACCTCTAAACCCCTTCAGTTAAAGTGCTCGCTAGTTAAACGCTGCTCTGTGACCTTTCTGTCTCTTTAGTTTCTCTCTATCATGTGGAAATGGTCACACAAACTATTCTGGGAAATCAGAGCAGAATTTGGATTTTCTACAATTCTTTCTTCTTCCTTAACATTCCACTAGTATTTGGCTCTGTTAAAATTGCTTATCACCACATACAAAATAGAAATTTTCTATCTAACTCCATTTTTTTTTTTTTTTTTTGAATTGGAGTCTCACTCTGTCACCCAGACTGGAGTGCAATGGCCGCTCCCGGCCACCGCAGCCTCGACCTGCTGGGCTCCGGCGATCCTTCCATCTCAGCCTTCCAAGTAGCCGGAATTACAGGCATGCGCTACCACGCCTGGCTGATTTTTTGATTTATTGTAGAGATGAGGTCTCGCTGCCCAGGCGGGTCTCGAACCCGCGGGCTCAGGCAATTCACTCACCTCAGCCTCCCAAAGGCGTGGGATTACAGGCTGAGCCACCGAGCCCGGCTCTAACTCCATTTTTAAATAACTATAGAATGAATAAAAATATACATTCTAATGTAGTAATTAACAGAGAAAGAGGTAGCTGTCATCATAATGATAAAATTTCATTAATCTTGAAATTGATGACATAAAACAAGCTGTGTATATACGGGGGACATCGTTATAAGCATGCTTCCTAGGGGTTTCCTATTTTCTGTCTGAAGACTAGTTATCTATGCAGTGTTGATCATGACTCAGACAACTCCTTAGTTCAATCTGTATAACAAGGTCATAAACTATGTGCTTAATTTCTTGCCTTACTTCACCCAGTAAAATATTTATTTTAGGTAATAAATTTCCTGTCATCTTTCTGCTCTGCATATACTAATCAGGATTTGCACTTTTTTCTATTTTTAGTTTTTTTAATGTGCATTGGAAATAGTGATGCTTTATGCTTGCTAATGTTTATGACTTTCATAAAAAATATTTTATATATGAGGTATGCTCTTATTAAGAGCATCTTATCAAGGAAAATAGTGCACAGTAAAATTTCACATATATATTTTACTCATTTATTTTATCTCTCTACCTTTTTTATTATTAATGATTTGTTCAGATAGAAATTTTAGAAGGCTGATTTTGCTAGTATGTTTTAAACCTCTTAGTATGTGTTACATTTTGCTGGACTTTATTACAATTGACAGTTTGTTTTAGCACTTTCTGATTGAGAGGTAATCTCATTCATTCATTGCACTGGAACAAAATAGCATATTCAAATGCCACCTGGAGAAATTTCCTCTCTACAAAAATCATCATTATTAGCCAAAGCCCTCAACACTTAGTATATTTATTCATACAGGTATTTTAAGATATTTGAGTAAAAGAGAAAGTTTGGCTCAAAATTAAGTTCTGATTTTGTGTAATTATTTAAATGTTACTCAGTGGGAAGAAGTGAAATAACTCACAATCATTTGTTTTATATATTTTTCTTTTTTGTTTTATATTTTGACTAGAGTAAATGAAATAATTTTATCAAAAAGGTTTACTCTAGTTGGAGCGATAAAATCTAAATGTTGTTCCAATTACATCAGCTTACTTTAAGCAGTTAATGTGAAAAGCTAAGAAGTTTTTAGTCATGCTTTAGAATTCACAGATTAGTTTAGAGTTCTCTATAAAAGTCTAGAGTTCTATGTCCTAAAGAAGGCACTGTTATTTATAAAAGAGAGGTTAACCAAGACAATATTATAGCATTAGAATTTTTTTTCTGATTCACATAAAGACATATAAGGAAAGATAAGTATAATAAAAACTTGCATATCTTCCTTTTGCATCTACAAATATGTGGTTCTAATATCTAGAAAAATGACTGAAATAATCGTTTAAACTTAATTCAACTTAAAGTAACTCTTTTATTATTTTTATTTTTTTAACTACAGGGAAAACTTGGAGTTCCAGGATTACCAGGATATCCAGGAAGACAAGGTCCAAAGGTAAAAATGGGTTGATTTTTATAGTTAATCGATATTTTGTGAAAACACTTAAAATTATTCATGTATGGTTACCTTAGAGTTTGTAACATATCTATATTATGATGAGTACTTAGAATATAATTTCACAAGGGAAAAAAATCATAGTCTGTGTGGGCCTCCCGTAGAGCAGGGGGTTCAGAATTGCAGATTGCACTGTTTTAGAAGACAGGGTCTTGAAGGGAAGGCATAATCAGTGATTCCTTGTCACTGGAATCACAACTTTTCTAGTTTATCTGTTTTAAAGTGGCTAACATGTAATGGATAATAACTTTGGTTTTCTTTCTGTTACTCTGAGGGTTTGAATTACCACTGGGTATTTTTTTTAGAAAATAATTTTAATACGTGTTTCACCCTCTCTGTTATCCTTGTGTCCATGAGTGTTTCCAGGGTTGCAGTAAAAAAATTCCAAAAACTTGTTGACTGAAAAGGACAGAAATTTACTCTCACAAGATCTGGAGACCAGGAGTAGAAAATCAGGGTGTTAGAGGGCTGTGCTCCCTCCAAAGACTCTACAAAAGAATCTGTCCTTTCCTCTTCCGTCTTCTGGTGGCCACAGGCATTCCTTGGCTTGTGTCTGGCTGCATAACTACTATCTCTGCCTCCTTCGTGTGACCTTTTTTTTCTGTGTTTCTGTCTCTTATAAGGACAATTGTCATTGGATTTAGGGATCACCTGGGTATTCCAGCAGGCTCACATTTCAAGTTCCTTCATTTAATCACATTTGGAAGACCTTTATTTCCAAATGTAACATTCATAGGTTCCAGAGATGTGGACATATCTTTTAAGGGGTCACCATTAAATTCACTATGTCACTCCAATCACATTTTTTGGCTATTAGAAATATGCATATCTTAATATTTAAAAAGATGGTTTTAAAAATGCATGTTTACCTTGGTGTACTAATTTTTCCCAAATGATAAAACTTTGTTAAGGTTGTACTTGGTGTCTAGAGTAGTTACATTAATGTGGTTAAATGAAATAATATGTAAATGCTGATAATGATAGTTATGCCATTCTTTTAATTATATGTACATGATACTATCAATCTTTCTACCTATTTTGCCTGGTTTGACTCATTCAAGCATAACAGATATATAGATAGGTCAAATCCTGCTTATATAATATCATTCAACATATGTCTGTTAATAAATTTCACAAGTAATCACAGGAGACAAAAATGTCCTTGCCTTTGATAACTGTGAATTGCACACACTTGTGGTCACTTATCATATGTCATGACATTATTTTAGGTGTGCTGTGCATGTTTGTCTTATAATTTCTTCATTGTGTTTCAAAGAAATATCCTCTCCCTTGTGTGACAGGAGACAAATATAATGCTTTGAACTCTTCTAAAACAAGATTTATGCCTTCTGTAATTTAAAAATAATACAAGCATCATTTAAATGTTTCAGGCCACATTCAGAACATTTTTACCTTTTAAATATTGTCTAAATATGCTGTTCTATCTCCCAGTTATCTTTCTTTCAAATGTCAAGCATTTTCACAATTATAAGCAAAAGAGTCCATTCACTGCATAACCCAGGACCTTAAACTATTCTTACATACTTCATGAATTCTTTGTTTATGTATGAAGTTAAATTGCAGTTGTAGTTTTTTGTCATGATTTAAAAAAAAAACATAGAAAACTGTCACAATAATACTTGAATGAGCACAATTTTATGAGTTTATTTGAAATTCTATTTTTTTCTTTTTTCCCCTAAGTCCATTATCTAACTAGTATTCTTTGAGTCCATTTTATTAACAAGATATATTAACAAATAACTAAAGAGAACTGTTTCTACCTATAGGAATACAACATTTTCTTTACCCTTTTAATTAAATATCTGGAATTTTGTTCTTCTTTTTTTTTAATACTACCTTTCTTCATAACAATCCTTTTTCTATGATCAAAAAGCGTTTAGGTTTTTCAGTTATAAAAATAGTGAAAGGCACATCAAAAATCAAAGATGGCTTCACATTTTTTTCTTATGTGGGAGCTAATGAATTTTGAATAGTATTATATCTTTATCTTACTAGACGTGAAATTCCATTGCTAATCTCTTTCAAGCAGTCTAAGGACAACAATTAGACACTATATCCAATGTATTAGTAACCATATAAACCATCAGGATAGTTAAAGGATGTAGCACCAAATGTACTATAAAATAATAGCTGTTTCATATAGTAGAATCTTTTAAGGTGGAATACTTTCATATTTTAGGCAGCATTTAAGATAATTATGAAAGTTTCACATCTGTGAACTGAGCTAATTTCACAATTAAACTTTGACTTCATGATCCTTTGTTTGTTTTTTCCAATAAAAATAGTAATACCTTTTCATAGATATCATATATTTTGTTTATAATTCCTTATGTGTGAAAACAGAAATAATATCTTATATATTACAAAGTGTTTTTTGGTGGATTAAATATTTTTGTGTGTTTTCTATCAATTTTCTAGAGCAGAAACAATGAAAGAAAATAAATGTATATAAAACAAAATTGATGCATGAAATTTATTTGTTTAAATGGAGAATCTACAAATATGATTAGTTATCTATTTTGATTATGATAGAAATAAATATTCCCCCCAAATTTTTATTTCTATACTAGATTATACTTATTTGCCAAATTCCCAGAATAGTCACATAGTAATACTATAATCAGATATGACTTCATCTGATTCTCTGCTGAGAAAGAGGTTTTGAAAGCCCTTCTAAAAATAAAATAGTCAGAGATTTCTCCCTCCAGTTTGTGAATATTAGACATTTCAACTATTGTTCTTAGGCTGGTCCCAAGTTAACTCTAGGCGTGAATCAAAGTCTATAGGGAAGCAGTTCATAAAAAGATATACATACATTGAGTTCGTGTGTTGACCATCAGTTGCCATAGGGTGTCACATAGAATTATTTTCAACTTCTCGAACAGCGTTGTGGAGGAAATATAAATTAGTAGCATCCTTCTGCCTGCTAAATATATAAACTACCTTCAAGTTGGCAATAGGCCTAATTGCCTCTTGTATATAATACTCGGCACCTGGCTATTCTAACTGCATGTGCCTAAGAACACACCTTTCAGGACTTCTCAATCTCCACACTCTGTGTTAGCTGGAGAGGTTTTTGAATACTGTACTCTGCTGCCAGAGAGTCTGTTTCAAGTATCTGTAAGTCTAGAGTGTCACAAGTATCTGTAAGTCTAGAGTGTGCCTTGACAGTGTATATTTTCAGCAGCCACTCCAGAACATTCTGATATAGAGGAACCATTGATTACTTGGGCAAGCATTATCTTTAGGGCTAGTTCAATGCATATGAGTGTATTCTCAAAAGCAAGGAATGCATTTATGTCAAAGAAGGCTGTGTGATATCCTTTAATGCATGGAGAATGTCTGCTACTTTCCACTAGACTTTTTACACATTATTACATGTCATCCACACAGTGGTCTAAACAGGAAAAGTAAATGTGTGGAAGTCTGCCCCCGTCCATTTTTATGGTTTTGTCGTTAACAAGTTGAGGAGCATGGATTTGAATCCTAATATGCTCTAATTCATAATACAATAATGAGGCAAAATCATTGCAGTCATGGTCAAGTAAATGTCTGAGCAAATAAAGATCTAGGCATAACCACAAAATGAAATGGGGAATCGGTGATTATATTGTATTCTTTCTGTAAAAAGTGGCCTATGTGGACAATGAAATAGTTCCTTGATGGGCTTATTACATTTAAAAATAATCATTATTTATTCCCTTTCATTATCATTTTTATACCCTCCATTCCTTTATTCCAAGCCTTCAGAAATTTCAAAGTACCTGTAATATGTATAACATTGCCCTTATTTTGCAGAAGGAGGAATGATAGTTGAAGAGAATAAGTAATATTCCAAACTCACTTAGCTGATGTGTGACAAACATGAATCTTGAACGTATGTCTTTAGTATTTTAGAAAACATAATTTTAATGTGTGACTGTCCGACTTAGATTCTCAGCTACACATAGTTGTATTCAAACACCAGTTAGAAAAGGTGGAGGAATATTTTAGTCTATGTGATTTGATTTCTAAAAGTGTAAAAAAATTTCAAATAAAAAGTGATAAAAATATACAAATATAATATTAATTCAGGAAAACCATTTTATAGAATCCCTGTTTTAATATGAGACTATGAATACTTGTGAAAGTGAAATTTTTCCCTAGAGTTGAAGCAAATAAATATAATTATATGGGCGGGGACTCCAAAAAAGCCTGGAATTTAATTATTAAAAAATTGTTTATGAATTCTTAATGTTTAAATTTAGTCGCCTTCAAATCACTGTCTGTTTGATGCACCTATCGAGATGCTTTCTCCACTACTCAAAACAGTTTTTGAACACATTAGTTTTGATGCCTTTTAGCTCTCCTGCCATTTTTTTGTTTCACATCTTCCACATCAGCAAAATGTTTCCCTTTGAGGACTTCTTTCATCCGAGGAAACAAAAAACAAGTCACTCAGGATGAAACTGGGTGAATAGGGAGGATGAAACATGGGAGTCATGCTGTTTTTGGACCAAAACTGCTGAACACAGTGTGGTCCAGGCAGGTGCATTCATAAATCACCCATCATGAAATGGGCCAACACATTGAAAGAAATCTCCAAAAAACAAAAAAACTAAAACTAAACTAAATCACTGAAGCTGAATGCAGCCTCTCAAAACAACGCTAGCTGATACACTGATGCCGACGGGTTCCTAAAATATCTACTTAGTGAAGGAAACCTTTACTACAAATGGCCAGCCCTCCAAAAGATAATTCTGAGTTGTTGTTGTTTTGCCCCCTCATAACTTAAAGATATATTTTCTATATAATATCCTTTAATTGCTATCTTATAATTAGAGCTATAATAATATGTGGTTAATTATTTTACCTATAAAATTAAAAACTAAAATATGTTTTATCAATTCATGTTTTCAATGCTTCCAGGATTTCAGATGTCATTGTAAGTTCATTTTCCATTATATGAGTGATGGCTGTATGGTATCTTAAAATTATGCTTTTGATTTAAATATTACCAGCTGTGTCAGAAACACTATGTTGCAAAAGAATGACAGCTCATGACTGACAATGTTAATTGCCATATTCATCATTTACTATTTTTATTATTGTAGGGGTCCACTGGATTCCCTGGGTTTCCAGGTGCCAATGGAGAGAAAGGTGCACGGGTATGTTGCATAAACAGATTGTTCTGAACTGTCTGATATAAATGTTCTTAGCAGGCACAGTGGCATACCTGTACTCACATATACTTGGGAGGTTGAGGTGGGAGTGTTGCTTGAGCTCAGGAGTCCAAGACCAGCCTGGGCAACGTAGAAAGACCCCATCCCTAAATAAATGAGTGAATGGATAAATTTAAAGTTTCTGCTTGAGTACCCATTGCTTAGCACCAGACTTGTAATTTACTGTGATACACTGACTGCATCCTGAAACTGTTTTTTTACTGTCTTTGGCAGGGAGTAGCTGGCAAGCCAGGCCCTCGGGGTCAGCGTGGTCCCACGGTGGGTGTCTTGATTTCAATCATTTTTTTCGTGTTTTTCATTTTGTATTTAGTTTTCCAAGATAACCTTTTTTTTTCAAAAATAAAACTTGATGGAATGCCTTTGGATCCACTTGGCACTGGTTTAGCAGCATGTCTTGCTGTCGTACACAGGGTCCTCGAGGGTCCAGAGGCGCTAGAGGCCCCACTGGGAAACCCGGGCCAAAGGTACTGTATGCATTTTTTCTGTCTGAGCTTTGATATAGGTTACCCTTCCAGACAGATGCTGAAGAAGGAATCCACACTGATTTTTCTTTTCTTTTCTTTTTTTGTTGTCAGGGCACTTCCGGCGGTGATGGCCCTCCAGGCCCTCCAGGTGAAAGAGTACGTATCATCTCGCCACATGATAGAAAATGAAAATTAACATTTGTGCAAGTATTTACATTTTGGGGAAAAGATATATGTGCCTGCAAAGTCCTGTGCACATTTATTCACAAAATCTAGCCTGAGTTCCAAAAGTTGTATTATTTTAATTTACTCCTCTCCATCAGTAAAAAGGCTGAGTCGATAATGTGCTGCTGATTTTCTCATAGAAATGTGAAAAATAATATGTGCAGTTGGCCTGAGATGTCACCCTTAAACTCAAGTCAAAGTACGTTTAAAAAAATTTTAAATTTAAATATGCTTAGAGTGTATTTGCCCTCTTCTCCGCCCACCCTGCCTTCCATACTGATACTCATTTTGTCCACGGAGATGGCAGCAGGTGATGCTGGTAAGATGCATGTGACCAGAGGCCATTGAGCTCCAAATCAATATACTCTCAACTCCAGATAAAATGTCCATTCCAGTAAATAGAAACACTATTTAGTAAATTGATTTTTAATTGATGTAAAATAAAGCCAAATAAGATGCGGAAGCATACCCTTTCTTTGGCTTTTGTGACAAGACATGGCATTTTTGTAACCAGAATTTTTGAAAGCTAGTCTCTTGAAAGAACTTTAAACATTAATATTTTTATTACCTTCAAAGAAACTAGAATCATTTCTTTATACTCTATAACATTTTTCAGTATTAGATAGTCCTATTGATATATTTTTGTATATGATTATTTGAAATTAATAATGAATGTTTAAAAAAACACTTTGCTTGAGAAGTGTAATTTTTTTTTTTTTTTTTTTTTTGAGCAGGGGTAATGAGTAAGCCTTACATTTCTATTTGGGACAATGATGTGAGTAGATAAAAAACAAGAATAAACATTTCATTAGAGGTGCTTTGGCTTATGTTTAATTAAATTAAACTTTTCACACTAAATGTGTTTCTTACTCTTGATGAACTATTCTTAAATCAAGTCTATTCATACTGTAAGTTTTGAAATAATAAATAATACATACATTTGAAAAACTTTATAGTCAAAGTGATCTTAATGAGATATAGTTAAGTTAAATGGGTGAATCATTAAATGGAATAGGACAATTTAACAAATAATAGCACATCTAGGAGTTTTGTCTTTAAAGTGCGAACTATACTATTCCAACAGAGTAAAATAAAATATGAATACAATAAAGCACAAACTGTTCTCTCATGATGTATTTTGTTTGTGAATTTCAAGATTTCATGATCAATATTTCTTTACAAGTGAATACACTTTTGATGACACTGCATTTTAAATTTGGAACACAATGGTGTGATTCAACAGAGTGATTACTTGTAATTCTAAACACACTTTGAGAATGAGAAAAGTACATTTTGATAATCCAAGTAATTGTTTTGTTTTAGTAACTTAGAAAGATCCACTTGCAATAAACATCATGCATATTTCAATATCTATATAGCAAAAAGATATTTGCTATGTTTTGAGCAGTTGATGAGACATTTCTTTCCTAATATGCTTTCATTTTCTACCAAGAATTTTAAAGTATTGTGAACTATTTAGTTTATGTCTTAAATACGCAGTTGAAAAATAATAGAAGAAATATCACAGAATATTTTCCTCAAATTACATGAATTGGAAAGTTCAGGGAGAGAATTTTGTAGTACTGTTGGGTTAGTAAAAGAAGTTTGTTTATTTCAGTGGGTTCCCTTTTTAACAGTATATTTGTATTTAACTATACACATATTTATACATACATTTTAATATATATAAACATTTTTAACATGGTCTACAAATTAAATGCATCCCATCATAATCATAGTTGGCAGATAATAGATTCCTTTTATTAAAAAGTTAGTAAAACTTAGTTAGGTCTAAGGTTACCAAATTTAGCAAAAAAAACCCAAACAAAACAAAAACAGCAGAACCAAGACACCTAGTTATATTTGAATTTAACATAAAGAGTCATTGTTGCATGTTTCTTGCAATATTTAGAATATATTAAAAATTATTATTTACCTAAATTTTAATTTAACTAGGCACTGGGTACTTTATCTGGCAATTTGGTTTCAACACCATCTTTACAATGAGTTCTTAGTGTATTTTATTTACCTCACATGGAAACTATGTTGATTAATACAAAGAGAACATGTCTCTCTGTAAAATTTTATAAAGAAAAATCTACCTTTCCTTCTTTATTGTTTCTGAAATAGTGATTTTTGAAAATTTTTCTTAAAGGAATTTAAATTAAAAATAAAATTGCATTTGAAAAGCAGTAACATTTTAGAAAACAAAGAAATGTCATTTTAAGAAATCAGGAAAACAGAGTTTGCCACATAACATAAAGGAATACTATTTAAAAAATTTTATACTTATAATACATTTTTGTTTATAATTTTGGAAGTTATTATGATAAATATTTTAGAATCATTGTTTAATGAAAATTTTAAAATGTTTGCATTTCTAAAATTTCCAAGTGCTTTTGTAATTTCATGTGACATCTTTATTTTTAACTTCATATACTTTTGAGGTTTCTTTTTTTATTGTAACGTAAGATTCTAGTAATAGAATCTGTGCTAACTTCTGAGCTAACAATGGCTTAACATTAAGAATGGTAATGAATTTTTCTTGGAAAGGCTAGATTGATAAATTGAAAAAGTAAAAAATGTTAAAGACCAACTTCAACAAACTTTATTTTTTATTATAAAATAGATAAAACTTACTTTAATTGAGTTACTTAAGAAATTTTATCTTTCACTTCATATATCTTCCTAATAGAAGTATTATCAGTATGTTCTAGGCATAAAAAGACTATTTTTGACCAACTTCTTTTTCTGCTACCAACAATCACTGTAATAGGGTCTACTTTATGCATTTTAAAGATATGTAAATATGGGGGATGAATAATATAGTTAATTAAGCACCAAGCCGAGAAAGATATTATAAATGTATATTTGGACTGAATGTTAATGAGTATATTTGTGTAATAAAGTTCTTTTCATCTTATCTACAAAAGAAATGTATATACATGAGAAAATGAGATATTGACATAATTAAAAATAATTATATTTTAAATACAGAGATTCCTTGAAGGCATCTTCTGTGGTCTTTTGTAGATAGTCATATGTTTTCTCTTTTAGTTCTTTATGGCTAGATTCAGACATTTATGAACTCACTTTTTAAACATAATTTTTCTTTTGTGGTACTCTGAAATTGAAATTGAAATATCTTTTTTTTGTGTGAATGTTTCTAGCCAATGTTAAAAGCAAAGAAGCTACAGATCTTCTCGATATTTACATGTTCTCTTCACTGTTAATATGAATTCCACATATTCACAGTGCTTTTGAGGTGACACTGATGTGATGTGTACTGTCGAGTACTGAAAAGTGTGAAAAATTCTGTATTTAGCATATAGATTAGCACTTACTATAATGTGGTATGACCGTAGTTCTGTCACTATGGTGAAGAAGTTGTGTGCTCCAGTCTGTGTTATCCATGGATATTCTAAACCTCAGAGTAGAAAATACTTCTGTTAAGACCTGTTACTTAATTATATTTCCCCCACCACTTTTTATTTCCAGGGTCCTCAAGGACCTCAGGGTCCAGTCGGATTCCCTGGACCAAAAGGCCCTCCTGTAAGTATCAGAGTTTTTATTTGATGTTTTTGAATTTTTGAGTCATAGCTTATGTTTTAAATAATTTTTAGATTTAACATGAATAAACTCGTGAGAAAATTATAATTAACAATGTTAAAGAATATAGACATTTTTAATTTATAAAGTATGTCGATTATTTCTGAATGTAATTTTAAAAGCTTTTATTAAGTTTTCTCTTGAGGCACATTAAAGACTAGAACAACATGAATATTCTATCAACTATGACTCTAATACAATGAATATTATATTATTCCCATGAATAATATTAAATAACATTAAAAACGGTTACCAAATCTTAAGTATTTGATGCGTTAAATTTTCTTTTTTACCTTCTATCATCAAATATCACTTCCTAAACCCCTTCTAGCATTCTGATATTGCTTAATATCTCTTTAAGATTTATTTTTATTTTTGCCTCGATAATGCATTCTTCTTAGAAGTGTAATGGTAATTCTTATTCAATCATATGCCTCTAAAAATGTGTTTAGAGCAACACTCTTGAATGTCTTCATTAAGAGACTTCACAGGGTTAGCTGAAATACTTTTTGTTCATATTTAAATATGCATAGGGACATAGGTATGTTCAGTTAATTTTTATTTTATTGTATTTGTTTTTTTCTTTCACAGTCTCTTCAATTTCAGTTTCAATGTTCATGAGAGCTAGAATCAGATTAGCTGCCTACCTAGAGCAGCAGTTCTCAAAATGTAGTCCCTGGCCAGTCAGTATCCTTAGCACTTGGGATATTGTTAGATACGCAAAGCCTCACTTAACCACATCAGAACGCTGGAGAGTGGCCTGGTCTGTACTTTTAACAAACCCTCTAGATAGTTCTGATGTATGCTGCAGTGTGGAACAACTGTCCTAGTCTAGACTAGACAATACTTCCCACACTTTAATGGGCATAAAAATCATGTTGGTGAATTATTTATTTTGAAATACTTAAGTACTAAATGTTGAGGTAATCTGTTTGCAGTAGTCTTTAGGCATGGTTGAAAGTATTATTTTAACACTGAACAGTTTTTCTTTATATTGCAAACATATCAAGAAAGGATTGTTCTGTATATTACAGTATTACAAAAGGATCAATATAAATAACTAGTTTTAAATAAAAGATAATCTTGATACTACCTACCAAAAATGTTGTTTATCTATTAGCTCAGTTGTGCTGCAAATTTAACTTTAGGTTTAAGCAAAGTTTCACAGATAAGAGAAAACACAGTCACAAAAATCATTATGCACATATTTTTTCATAAGCCTTTCCATAACTAATTGTAAGCCATGCACATAGATCATTGTTTAGCAATGTAAAATTCAGTAATATGTATAATCTCAACATTCCCATACCATTTATGTTTCTATGTGTTGCTAAGTATTGTTTCTTTTATGTAAGACCATTTTATCATCAAAGAAAACCATTTGACTCACTTTTTCTCAAAGAGTTTTTCAGCACATTTTCTTAGATAGCTTTCAACAGATTTTAAGCCATTGATCATGCATGCATTTTTGTCTCTAAGAGGTACTGGAAGTATAATAAATGCCTACACTTGAGAAGTATGCATTCTAGTTGAAGAGACAAGATATTGTAAAGGAGCATTGCTTTCACTGCTAAACAAAATGATTTTTGTACTTTGTTTCTCTAACGAGTGAAACATTAGAGCATGAAATAAAAATACCTATCCTTTCTTTAGTATGCAGTTTTATGGCATTCGGGAAATAAATGCCTTTATCTGTTTGATATAAAAAGAAGAAATTGGAGTTGAGAGATAGAACTCTCTTCTTGTAAATTAAGTAGTTTGTCTTCATTATACCAGGAAAAAAATTTAAATACTTACATCTATGTGTGTGTATATAATATGCAATGTGTAATATGTAATGAACACATGCACATATGGAATATGGGAATATTCTATTTAGATTATGTTAATCTCATGCCAATATCAACATATTTCGGGAATATATAGTTTTCCATTTAAGAAAAAGAATTAACCTGAAGGGATTCAGATTTATGGTATGACTATTATGAGAAGCATTTACAGAAGAGAAAAAGTTAAACTCAGTGTCAATAGGAAGTGAAAAAACATCTTTAAACAATTATTTATCAGAGTCTTTTCACAAATTGCCTTGCCATATCTGTATATCCTCATTTAGATGAATTTGTTCTTTCTGTCCTGTACCAACTAGATCAAAGAGACAGGCTATTTTGATTAAAAATTATCCTTTTTACATAAATACCATGCAATTATTTGGTTATAGGTGTGCTTTATTTTACTAGACAGTAGTGCGATGCTATTGCAATTATTTAGGATAAACTACTTGATATTAGTAGTACATAAGAAAGCAAGAAACATAATGACTCCGATCCTTTATGTAGTCTGTTAACACTCTCCCTCAGACTGTCTAGCAAAGCTATTAAAAATCATGTATTCTTTTCAGGATGACATCATTTAGCTCTGTGATCACTATATTAAGTATTATATCTTTATCATTGAAAGTCATATCTATATTAGAAAATCTGATTTTGTTTTTTATATTTACAACTTTGTTAGAAATCATACAGATGTTTAGTACTAATGACAAAGCACATCTTTTGAGAAGCACTTTATTATAGTAGGGGAAAAACCAGACATCCTCTATGTAAAACTTTTTATTGCTTTAAATTAACAGCACATTTATTGCCATCTGTGTATCGAAATAAGGCACAGAAATTTTTTCTATTTGTTGTTTTGTAAAACAGGACCTTGATGAAGTCTCTTGGCCATTAACTACTTATTTCTATGTTTTACCTCCAAACTGAGAGCAGAGCTAAGTCTTACTATGTATCTAGTAATTAATATATAGGTATGTAATAGGTATTTGAAAAAAGCAAAGAAAATGGTATCCAAGAGTGTTTGGGGCCCTTAGTTAAAAACACTTCAACTGCTGTCTTTTGGGAGACAGTGGCACTAGGTGGTCCTGGAAAGCATGAGCAAATCACTTAGCAAGCCAAGAAGTTGTGAAATAGCATATTAACAGTTTTTAATGAGAGCCGGCAATTCACAAGACAGCCAGGGTGTCAATAGAGATGAGATCAGGGAGCAGAGATGGTTCTGGCACTGCCAAGAGCCTTTCCCCTGAAGTAGCTAGCCAACCTTGAAAAGGTCTTACTCAGTTAGGAAAAAAAGCTGTAATAAATGATCTTATTTTGAAATAAAGTCTTTTGCTCATACTCTATATGAACATATGAAAAGTAGATATTTGAGAATATATCTATTTAAATAATTTACATATAGCAAGAGGTGTGCCCTTTGATATTACAATGTCATTATTAAAATGATTATTTCTCTTCAAGTCTTCAGAAGGATGAGAATATTTCTGTTTTTTAACTTTGAGCTTGTTTCTTAATGGTTTCTGAGTAGAATAAATAACACAGAAGGCAGTCTAAAGAAGCAATCTATTTCTACTAAGTCTGTAAAATATAGGACCCTCACAGAGTTGTTTACTTTAAATACTTAGTTAATTGCTCCATTTATTTATTCAGACATGACAAAGACAGCACTTTTTATAGAAAGTGGTAACATAGTAGATTTGCTCTCCAGTACTTAATAAACATTATGCTTCCAAGAGGATATTTAAGAAAGCCTACTTGGAAAAATTTGTCCTGATGACTACTAGAATTGAGTTTAAAACGTTGTTTCCTTTACTTGAAACAATTTGAGAGGAAAAATGCCATTGTTTTTCTGAGTTTGTATTTCTTTTGCAATCTTCTCAGTTAAAAGCTCTCACCACTAGAGGGCACTGTCATTCTCTGTTATCCAAGTTTTGATGCACAGAGAATTGAATTAGGAAGAGAGCACCAAAAAGGTGAAAATATTCATTTGTTAAATATTAAAGAACTATTGTTTTTGCAAAATACAAACTTATGTAAATAAGCTTTTAAAAAGAATAGAGGCAAACAAAATGAATTCATTTAAATGTAAAAATGTTCAGAAGGGAGTTCTACAGTGTTATTTCCGGTCTCTATTACAGCTATACAACATTATTAAGGAGACTGACACACACACTACCATTTATAAAATCAACAGAACATGAAAGTACAATACCTAATGAAAATGTGAAAAGAAAATGTTCTAAAATGTTGCATTTAGACTATTAAATATTTTAAGAAATATTTATGGCATGTGGTGTTTAATATTTGTGATTTCAGGGACCCCCTGGGAAGGATGGGCTGCCAGGACACCCTGGACAACGCGGAGAGACTGTAAGTGACTCTGTTACTCTTCTTGCAATTTTCCATCTCTGGCACCTCATCAGTTCATAGAAAGCTACCTTCTTATTAAAAGTTCAATTGCCAGATTCAGGACAAAGGAGGAATTAATTCCATTGACCCTTTATTAGAATATGTAAGCAAATGCACAAATAGAACCATGTTTGTACCAAAACAAATGTACTTGGGAAAATAGGATGTTCTTACTGTCAATAGCTGTTATGATGTTCTTATTGTCAATAACTGCATTTTAGGAGTGCTGATAGAGAAAACATCATTATTTTTTTGAATACTTCCACAAGACTGACCCCTTGACCCTATCACTGTAGTCTTTTTAAGATACGTTCCACTCAAGTCCATCACCACTCAACTCTCTAGGGGAAATAGATTATAATAAGCCATGCACATATGACGACAGTCCTCTACCCAGAAATAAGAGATGAAATTTGCTGAAATTGGAACCACAGGCTATAATTGGTCTGGAACTATGTCAAAAGCATCCTTTCACATCAAGTAGAAAAATGTAAATCAGAAAATGTAAATTCATTTTATCTTAAAACTGTAAAGAATATACCTTTAAATAAACTGACTGTACAGCTTATCATATGTATAAAAATTTGGACAGAGGGGACACTGGTAGCTCAGCTGCGGCTCAAAGATCCTGGTGGGTTTGTTTGTTTGTTTTTCTGCCACTGTTACAAAACAGTGCATCTGACTGTCCCTGTGAGTTGTTCTTCTTATCAGGAGTCATCATGGGTTGGCATGTTTCCATGGAATCAATTCTTGGGTCTCATTATTGATTAACTTTATCCAGATTTCTTGAGGAAACCACAACACAGACTAACTCTGACTAAGTGGTTGAACATCGCGTTAGGGCTTTTGGCCAGCCTGAAGATGTCAAGGGTTGCTTAGCAGTACCCGATAATAAACATTGTGAGTTTCCTTCTATGGAGGAGCCTGTCAGCACCACCCCGATTGCTGTCTTACTCACCAAGTGACAAGTCTTCATTTCACAGCTTCTTGGTTTGAGCCAGATGGGAAACTTCTGTCAAAGTATTAGATTTCAAAAGCAGCATCAAGATATGATTTAATAAGACTGAAGGTTAAATTGTTTAGATTTCCTCTTGATAATGACATCTATGTGAAGGGAAAACAATGAACTCTCTTAAAGGAGAATCCATATCTAAATTTGCGAATGCATTCTCATTCTGACCTTGCAACCAATCATTTTTAATGATGTCCTGGTGTAACTTCCTGGGAATAAGTCTAGACTATTTCCAAATATATTTTGAGAAGTGGATACCTACAAAATGACTGTTATAAGATCTTTTTTTTGTTAAATCAAGAGCTTCTGCTTCTATCCAACGTAATCATATTGTATATAACATTTACATTTAAGCAAATAAGAAAAATTGCATAATGTCTAATTCTTCCAGAGTGAATGTTTCCATTTAGTAATTTATCACAGATGAAGATCAGAATTACTTCCAAAAAATCGTATTCCCGATTTCACATCACTTGCAAGAGAACAGGGAATCATCCCAGAGCTAGGGACCATTCTCTCTCACCTTGTTCTATGCTGACCCGGATTCAAAAGGTTGTTGCACTCACAGGGCAGAATCTAGGATGGGCATTGTTTTATATATATTATATTTTATATAATATTATATGAATTCATATTCTTATTTTAGTAAATCAATTCTTTTGTTATAATTGAGCTTTGTCCCCAGTCAGAAATCCTTGAATTGAAGGTTCACTTTGACAGCTTGAATTTATCTGTGTTATTTCAGCATAATAAATACTATTTTTAGTTTTTCTTGGTGGCCTTAAAAAACTTCAGAAAGTTTTATTGTATTGAATCATCCAAATTTGTCTCAGAAACCATGTATTGATCCTAAAATTAACTGAGTTCATTAGAGATGATCAGAAGAGGAGTTACTTTTTTGTTGGGTCTTACAGCAGAATTTTTGAATTGTTTATGAATGTATCAAATTAATTTTTCTCAGCAAGTTTGAAAAAACATAATTTGACTTGTTTGAGTTATTCCAAAGTTAAGTGGCAAGTATAGTCTTATTACATGACAATATTAGACACTCCTTTCCATTCTGAACTGTAAAAGTTCTCTTGCGTGTAGTTTATGTAACATCCCTAGGGTCAAATTTATTAGATACTTGCAAACACTCTATATGTTTTGAATGAGCAGACATAGGGCAGTGCTATCTCCCAGCTCCCACACAAATGGAAAATCAGCCAATATTTCCTCTTTCCCCTTAGGATCCATAGGTGAAAAGCTGGGTTGTAAATTTTCCCCTTAGGATCCATAGGTGAAAAGCTGGGTTGTAAATTCTCCAGATTTTCTCAAACATTGATTTTTAATCAATTATTTTAATTATTAACTACTGCAGTCACATATGTGTATACTATTATTAGTATCACAATGATTAAAAACAAAAAGTTTTGTAAGACTACATTTTTTTAAATTTCAGAATTGCAAATTACATTTTCATGTCAAACTTAGTGATCAGAAATTGGGAGATTGGTAATCCAGACAGAGGAAACACAATAGGCCATGCAGTTATGTGGTGTGTGGCTCTTCAGAGAAAGATGAGATCAGCATGGTTAGGATTTAGGACACATTTTCAAAGTATAAGAGGTGACAGAAGTAGCAGACTGGACCCAGATTGTGTAGAACGTCGTCACCTATATTCTATGATGGATGTTGTTAGCATGTTGATAGGTCTGCTTTTGTGGGTGGTGATTCTGGCTAACATAGACAAGTGAAGGAATCAGTTTGAACAGCTCCGCGCTGGTATAGGAAGGGAGTGGTTATAGTTTGAATAAGAAGGTCTACTAACATAAGAGGTAAGATGCTGTATTTGAGACCTGCTAGAATTAAGCGACTGATTTGGAACAAGCACCAGAGGAAAGTTTGGGATTTTTTTTTTTTTTTTTTTTGAGTCATTGTCTCCCTCTGTGGCTCAGGCTGAAGTGCAGTGGCATGCTCACGGCCACTGCAGCCTCGACCTGCTGGGTTCAGGTGATCCTTCCTCCTCAACCTTCCAAGTTGCTGAGATTACAGGCATGCACCACCACCCCCAGCTAATTTTTTTGATTTTTTGTAGAGATGAGATCTCGCCAAGTTACCCAGGCTGGTCTCAAACCCCTGGACTCAGGCCATCTTCTCTTCTCAGCCTCCTAAAGTGCTGGGATTACAGGTGTGAGCCACAACACCCGGTCTTGAAAGCCTGGGATCCTAAGGCACGTTATTAAAACGAGAGAGAACACAGGAGGGAAATCAAGGGAGAGGATACATCCAGCAAGCTCCAGGTAGGGAATATTGAAGACAGAGTGTGATATACAATTGGAAATGTCCAGTAGACACTTAATGAGAGAGTTTCAAGACTTATCACACATTAGATGTTTAGAAATAGTTTGGAGTTTGGAGTGGAGTTCATCAGCAGAGAGATAGCTGTTTTGGTCATAGAGGTGTTGAGATAATCCAGGAACACAGATATGCATTTCTACACATGTATGTATATATGTGTTTATATATTTGTGTGCATATAAATCTGTAAATCTGTTTACAGATTTCCAAACCAACTAGTTGCTGAAAAGCTAAACTTAATCAAACAACTTTTAAATAAAGTACTAAATAAGTTCTATGATATTTCTCCTCTTCCTCCAGGTTTGGTTGATTTTGCTATTGATGATGATAGCTCAAATAGTCTTAAGAATTAGTGGATTTTTAAAATAGGAGAAATTTGTTTTATGTCCCTGTAACCCAATAACAGTAATTAAAAACACACATTCTTTTTGTTTTACCTACTTATAAAATTTTGTTGTTGTAAATAATTTAATCATAGTTACCTGGAAATTCGTGACACAAATATGAAATTACTAGTTTCTACAATTTTTAAAATCTTATTATTTTCAGACTGACTGCGTAAAGTGAATCAAACGTTTGCGATTGCTATTTGGTTTAATTCAGTTCTTTGGAAAGTTTTTCTCCCAATGCTTTCTATCTATTTCTTCAGCTGTTAAATGTAACTTAACTTACATGAAAAATAAATTTACCTATTATAATACAATTCTACAGGATGAATAACCCATGAGCCTAGAATAATGTAACCATCAGAATATATGCCCCAAAGCTTTTTTTTTTTTGTGAGTACATTCTGTTCACATCAACCGGGATTATATTTTAATGGCTGCATCATTTATAAGGTGCATTTGGAACTATATTCTTTTGAGTTTCTTTTAAGAAAGAACACAGATAAAATGCTGAAATGATTACTGACCATGCAAAGAATTATTTTTTATTAGTATGCTTTTATTTTGTTTTATGAGAATTTTGGAATACAGTAAAGGGAAATGCATTAATATCACAGACTATAAATGTATCTCAGTGTAGAAACTCAGTGAACTGTTTCAATAAATGTCTATGCCATCATTCATTTCATCCATCTATATTGCTGGGTTAAAATTCTATATGCTGTTTGACCCGGTGGAACAGAACTTAGAACACATTTTTGCTCCACCTTCATCTTATTATCTTACTTACTTGTTTAGTTTATTGCAAGTAATCATTGTACTACAACATGAAAGTGTGAAGGGCCAAATTTGGAGTTTTAATGAAAACTGGAATATAATAACTCATATATAAGCATTTTAAAAATAATCATCTTTAGCTAAAAAAGTAACTCTCTTGCCATGTAACTTAGTCAATGTTCTCATAGAATTTTAGTTTATGCTTCATGTTGAGTTGTGTTGAGCACATTCTGCTCTACTTCCTTAGGGATTTCAAGGCAAGACTGGCCCGCCTGGCCCTGGAGGAGTGGTCGGCCCACAGGTATGTTTCTTCACTTTATTCCCTTTGCAGGATTTATTTGTTTGTTTATATTTTCACTTTCCCAAGTTGTGTAGAATCTGCCCATTTTATTATGATTCAAAATTATATATTTTTTAAACTTCAGATTACATTTAAATATTTGCAACTGGCCTACATTTAACAAAAGTCAGCAAATTATTACTTAACTACAATGACTTTTAAATTGTCTATATGAATGAAAGAGAGGAATAAAATAAATAATGAAAAGAAATCAGAAAGTGCACACTGAATTTAGCGTGACAACCTGACCACGGTACCATTTATTAATAAAAAAATGAAAACAAGTTTCTCTATAAATAGGTTGACCATCATCTTTTTTCCAGAATTATTAATTTACAAAATGACACAAGACTTTTCGTATAAATTCAATTTAGAAGTACAGTATAAAAGAAGTATAATATAAAACTCTGTATACCACAATATCCTCACATTTTAATATTTGCAAAAAAGTATATGTTTCTTAAGATTTTTATCTTCACAGTAATGAATTATATGGTATAAAATATTAGTCTGTTGTCTTTGAGTATATGAAAAATAATGGCCAAGACAAGTATTTCTTTCAAGATAGTTGACAGAGTCTCAAAAATTCAGAGTATCCCAAATTACAGTATTAAATAACTATAGAGAATAATTCATAGAAATAGAAAATAATATGTTTCTTTTGTGACAAAAATTATTGAATGGGCAGAACACACTTAGTTTACTCACCTACCATGCTACCCTGTTAATGACAAATTATAGTAGAGGAACAAGAGCAGTTGAATAAGCATTTTAATTATTTAATATCTTTAAATAATCCTTCCTCTGTAAGTAGTTCTCAAATGTAACACACAACCTCACAAATATGCACATTGAAACACAAACACGTAATGCCAGAGAAACAAAAAACTGAATTTTCCTTCTAAGAGTATGTGTGACAGAAGCAAAAATGAAGAATTCTTGAACTGGTTGATCATTTTGTTTCATATCATAGATTACTCTTGAACCAAGGAAAATGTTAACTGTTCTATTATAAAGGAGGCACACATATATATAAGCATGCATTTATTTTTGTGTGTATGGTGAAGGCTTTTTTTTAACTGCCTATCAGCTAAATTATATATATATAATTTTTTAATAATTACAAATTACACTCTAAAAAATACTTTTTTTTCAGTTCTAAACAACTTTATAACTATTTTCTGTGGGGAAATTTAACCAGAGGAATGATTCATATTACACTTAATATCTGTGAGCAGAAATGAAATCATCATCTGACTAAAACATAAACATAGTGGCTCTTAACAGAATATTTCATGATCTTGCATATTTCAAAAATGCATCTCTGCCCAATATGAACATTTGCAATATCTGACACCTGTGTTCTTTTTTGTTCCTCTACTTTAAGGCATAAATGTAGCAGGTGTCTTATTAAGTATGTATTGAGTTATGTTTGTATTGGCCCTTTTAAAGAAAAAAAAATCCAATTGCTTATTTTAGATGTTCTTATTAAGTATGTATCTTTATTGAGTTATGTTTGTATTGGCCCTTTTAAAGAAAAAAAAATCCAATTGCTTATTTTAGATGTAACCATATTTTCATGCTAAGACTTAGGAGGTGGCTTAATGGGAACAATGTTCTTTGAGCAGTTATGTGAATCTCTGCTAATTTTTGTCTCAGTTGTGATTGCTGTTCAATTAGGATTAATTATATATTCCCTACTGTTGAAATTCTGGTATTCAAATAGTTAAGAAAAAAATTATTTGTGGGGAGATGTTTGCACATAAATGGTAAGTTGAGGACTTCCAGCAATTTCATGATTAAAGGAATTTAATGCTAGAAATGTACATTCAGCCGGGCTCGGTGGCTCGGTGTCTCAGCCTGTAATCCCGCACCTTTGGGAGGCTGAGGTGAGTGGATTGCCTGAGCCCGTGGGTTCGAGACCCGCCTGGGCAGCGAAACCTCATCTCTACAATAAATAAAAAAATCAACCGGGTGTGGTAACGCGCGCCTGTAATTCCGGCTACTCAGAAGGCTGAGGCGGAAGGATCGCCGGAGCCCAGCAGATCGAGGCTGCAGTGGCCGGGAGTGGCCACTGCATTCCAGTCTGGGTGACCGAGTGAGACTCC